TTCAGAAATGAATGGTAACGTCAATGGCGATAAGCCATGGAAGGAGGAAGGAAGCGCCAAAACGGAGAAACAGGAAGAGATGTCCGAAAGAAAGAATGTCATATCTGGCGTGGCCCATGTCGGAAGGTCAAGGTATCCCCTACGAAACGATGAAATTCTATACTTCGTGAAAACCGCAGGCAAGTTTGAAAGCCGTGCCAAAGCGCTGTACGATTCCTGGGGCAAGCTAGCACATCGTTTAATTATCTCAACTGACTCGCTTCTTATTCAATCTGACATCCCCGCGTGGAAGCAGAGGGTTGCTCATCTGAATCAGATGGGCAGGATATTATTCCATGGTCCTCACGCTCTAAGCTGTGCTACTACCTGTCTAAATCTGGCTAAGGTTCTGCAAGAGGAAGAGTACTATGACACAAAGTGGGTTGTCTTCTTGGACGATGATACGTTCGTCATCCCTCAGAACCTGCTCGCCTACTTGTCTGAATATGACCCGGAGCAGATGCATTACCTTGGGCTCAGCATTCCTGAGCCAATTGCCTGGCTGCCCAGACTGGACAATGGCAAACCTGTCCATATGGCCGCTACGTCAGCAGGAGCAGTGTTCAGTCGCGGTCTTATGCAACACATACGTCACAATATTGTGGAAACTCTGCAACTCACCAAGATACATGAAAGGTGTGTTAGAGCACGTATGGGCGATGATGTTGCTCTGGGTTTGCTGGCCGTTGAAAACAAGGTGGAGCTGGTCAGCAGGCCGGATTTGGTGGGTTTCCATTGGAGTGACAGGCCAACGCCAAAGGGCATTGACCCGCTAACAATTCACCTACAGCTGCAGATGAAACCTAATGACATTCCTAGGTTTTCTGACCTCAGCGAGAAATACATCAATGCAAGTGCAATGGCGAGGGACTTCGGAGATGACGTGCTCAAGCGATTTCTCTAAATCCACGGCGCTCTTGTTATGCAACATTCAATTTTACTTTCATCATCATTAATTTATCATAAGGCGTCGAGGCTCCCAGTAAATGAAATCAATAGAGCGCCAGGGAATTCTATCTTGAGCTGCTGTTGACACTGTGAAAAATATGTATCGATACTAGGCAGAGGCAAAGCCTCATCCAGCCAAGTTATCCTCTGTCGACCGAGCACAAGTCCACCGGAAACACGACAGCCGCAAACCCACCGGCGCGTGCAATGTGAACAAACCTGCAATTTCCTTTCCAGGACTAAAACAAGTGGTGATTGCAATCGACTGGAATAGGTTTTCTTCCTGACTTTGTACTCCACCCTGTACAATCACCAGCATGTACAGTCATGTACATGTATGTGCATATATGTATGTGCGTATTCATGTACCGGTAGTACTTCGAAGTACACTGGACTGTATTGATGTTGTGCAATTGTCCGTTCCTACACATGTACGCTGTCTGGTGCCGTTGTGTACATGTGTGTTCATACCGGTATTGAGCCCGTCTACATTGACTTGGAGGATACACCTGAATTGCAAACATTGTGATAATATTAGACTAACTGTTATTGAGGAATGTGCTTGATTCAAGTGTTGATCGCCCGCCACTATTATCCCATGATGACTGCAGTGTGTTATGATGGTTGATGGTTACTCGTGCCTCCATAAATGCTGCTCGGTGAGACATGGGTGATCTGTCTTGTTCAGCTTCATCCGCCCTCCATCCTGTGGATAGCCACCATTTTCATCATCAGAGTCAATGCAACACTGCTGGTCCCCGGCATTGGCAACACACGTGCAGTCCACTGTATCTCACTGCTACTCGTTTTTAACTTACTTACCAACATTCCTTGTAAACCTTTATAAGAGTTCCTGTTGAATTTCATTATCAATTTAATATAATAGACTGTACATGTACTAGTAGACCCAATCTTGATTTGTCGCCGTTTCCTAAGCCTGATGTATTGTTGGCAAAGGACTCTTGAATGTAGGCACCTCAAATCATTGTCATTGCATGAGGTCCATGACTCCATGTACATGTACATGTATGTGCAGCTATGGCCTGGTCTACTCGTCTTCACTAATTCGCCTGAGTGAATAGGGAGAACTTTAACTTAATGATGCGTCTGGGTCATGGGGCCAATGCCAGAAATCTGGTCAGAGCCAGAATTGAATAAAAAATTCACCCTGAAAGATGAGAACCACGCCACTGTAGTCTGTAGTCTGTAGGCTTCCGATGTCATGTCTAGACACGTGCTGCATGCCTATACCTGTGTACCAGTGTACAGCCATTTTACAATGTCAATGGATTATGCACTTTCAAGTTTCAACAGTTGAGTTTCCCCCTCCAGCTACCAGACATTGCACGTTCAGCTCAGATGGCTGCTGGCAGGAGACCTTTTCGTATGCTAAGAGTACGAAAACAGCCATCAGATCAAGTTTAGCCATGCACATTCGACAAGCAGCAAAGGAAATAATTATGTATACGCTTTACGCTCATGGAAAACTAATCCGTTTGCAGGGGCGTAGCCAGGATAGTGATCAAGGGGGGGGGGGGGTGCCACGACTTTCCCCACACAAAAGTACGGTAGTTGCACTGAAGTTTTAGATCCGCGATATGGCGGGTGGGGGGAGGTCGGGGGGGAAGCAAAATTAGCCCCACATTTGACGCGAAAAATCAATCAGTGAACGGCAAACCTCCAACCAGGTAGTAGTAATATTTACTACTCCCTGCTTCCAACTAAGGATGAGCTTTGCCCTGGATGCTGCTTTCTCCAGAATTATCACACCCTCCTCCGTCGAACATTTTAAAGTCAGAATTCTCAACCCCAAACGTACCCTATACGTGTATTTCCCACAAAAACCTCAAACTCCACTTCAACCGGTTACTTTCACTGTTATGCTCCTCTACCGACACTTGAAAGTTGAAACACAAGAAAGAGTCTTCTTTGCTTTTCCACAACCTCCAATGCCAACACTCAACCGTCAGAACTACATGTACATGTACATGTACATTATACAAAACATAGCGCAAACAAACTGCTATGCCCGATGCGTGTTTTCCATGGACTGTGTTGCTACTTCTACCCATGCCAGGCTTGTTTGTATGACTCTTTGCTTCTAACAAAAGATGTGGAATGCGATACAAATCATGTGCTGAGTCTGCCGCAGTCTGACATACATGTACGTGTACATGTACATGTAATGCTGCACAACGGCGGGTACGAAGCGGAGTTGCCCTTGACCAGAAGTTTCATATAAAAATGGCCAATAATCAAACAGAAATAGTAAACTGCACTAGTACAATAATATCTACTGCTTCCTGGTCTGAACACGGTTTGCTACAGAGGTCAGTGCGCGATGTGCAGAGTTGCACATGTGATCAGCAGTCCGCGCGTTACGGTCTCTCTCGAACCAGCTGCGAACTACGATCGAACTTTTTGAGGGGGTGCTTTGGCAACCAACTGCCCCCCCCCCCCCCCCCCCCCCCGCCTACGCCCATGGTTTGCTATAGCACGCAACAGCAAAAGCAAATAAATTAAAATGCTCGGCGATAGGAGAGAAACTAAGTGTTACTTCAAAGTAATAATGTGTGTGTGGGGGGGGGGGGGGGGGGGGGGGGGAGGGAGAGAGAACATGCATGTAAGTACTTGTAAGTGTAAGCAGGGGATATAAATCTATTTTTATCTTATAATAATAAAGCAACGTTTGAAAAGGTACTAATACAATTTTTGCCATTTGTGGCTGAACTGCAGGAGCTGTCCCGTCGCCTCTGCTGAGCTGAGCCATACTTTTAACACCTACTGTGCGTTAAAGCCATCCCACAATACCAAATTGGCCCGAGGCTATCACTGATCACTACTTCAAAAGTACTTGCTCTTTCTCAGTCTATTATTATTACTGGTCTCAGTGGCTAGCGTCTCAGTGTAACAATGTACCAGTAGTAGGCATGGTCTTCAGAGCACTACAAATCATTATTATTGTCTTTGCATTGTATAAGTACATGTATGTACTGCATGTAGATCTACATTGCATTCGTTTTAGGGTGTCAATGTCAGCTGGCTCTCTGTTGGGCTTTGTCTTCTGCGAGAGGGAGGTGATGAACAGAAGAGGTTTTCATTAAAGTCGAATACGGTGAACAATGGATCAGATCATCTACTGCAGTACCGGTGCTAGTAGTGGGTCGGATGAGCACATTGCCCGCCACCATTTAGAACTACTCCTTTTGTCACTGGTAGATATGATAAGAATCTGATAATACCCGACCGTGATCATGACATAGTTGGCCATAAGTATGGGACTCTAGCTCCAGCTCTACCACTGAAGCTCTTGCGCACTTGCCATTATTTTAATTACATTTTTGTTGCAGGCCGATACCGATGTGTTGCCGTGGGACTTAGCTTGCGCACATTTTTGTTGGAGAGTATTTTAGTCCTGGTGTAGTATGTTATGGTAGATGTACGCAACTGTGATTATGACACCTTGGCATTCTCCAGCGCACTTGCCAATCAGTACACTACAGACAGAAGAAAAAGGGCAGAGTGGGGGCGACAGCAAACAGCACTGCTTCATGCCTAGCCGGCGTTTGATTGAATTACTATTGTTTTGGCCACGTCTCGACTCCGTGCTTCTCCACCTTCGAAATTTTTTAATGACATGACTCGTGAGCCACAAATAAAAAGCGCAATCATGCTCGCGCCTTTCCGATCCCCGGCCGAGCCCATGATGCAGTAGTACTACTAGTACTGCCTTCTCGATCCAGGGAGCTTGATATCACAGTCATGTACAATAATGACCATGATGACTGTTGGCGAGTGTTGCTGATCAAAGATAGCGCCTGTCGCTTTACATGCTGGTTCTAACAGGTGTAACCAAGTCAGATAGGAGTCATAATTATTCATTATGACCGATGTTCGAGGATCTACCGCATCATCCAGACTTGAAACCCGCGAGCACGAGTAGAACCTGGCGTGACATAAGTAACGTTACTTGCCACCCTCCACTTACCAAAAATGTTTCCTCAACGCCTTTGAACTAATTACTAAATTAGTTTCCAACGTTAGTTTCACTTCAAGCCTTTTCCTGGCTGCCGCTGGTGATAATGTTACAGGACGCTGAGCAGCTGTCTGGATTTAGCAATACAGACAATGTATCAATCTGCACCAAGATCTGAAGTTGAGAGTGCAACATCAGTTTGAAAAGAAGCATAGCCAGCGCTAGCAGAAGCGTTCATTCAAAATCCGTCTTTGTGGTAATTGTAGTTCCACGTACATGTAATAACTATCCGGTTTGAAGATGATTGTCGTGCAAGCTTTCGCGTTGTCTCTACTGGCTCTACCTTGGGTAGCATCACACCCGCAATGCCTTGATTTCTTGCCTCCGTTTACTCCGTCGAGTTCACTAAGCTACTGCAGCCAGTACAGCGCGTTCTCCTGCTGCTCCAGTGCTGGAGATGGAGAGGTCGCTGCGCACGTGAACTCATTCGGACAACAAGTAGCCGCCGCTCCGAAACCTGCGGAGTGTGGCGAAATGCTGAAGGAGGTAAGCTGTGCAAGATGCTCACCATACGCATCGCACATCTACAATGCGGAGGCGACTGGCATGGCAAGTGCAGTCGCTGGCTTGTGTACGGAATTCTGTATGGATACTGTGAACGCGTGTGGAATGGATCTGGTGATGAACATTTCGAATGTCTCTGACACATCCTTTGCCAGTGCCAGCGCCCTCTGCACAGCTCTACAACCCGTTGATTTGGATTACTGCGTGCCGTATGTCCGTAATTTCACTGCACGCTTAGCTGCGCGTCCCACAGCCTCGCCGACCGGGAATCTCCAGTGCGTATGCGTGAAGGAAGTGATGGGACAGTTGCGTAATCCTGTTGTGGCCGTGCATGCTGGTGATCGGTCACACCGACTGTTCGTAGGCGAACAGCTTGGTGTTGTAAGAGTACTACTACCGAATGGCACAGTCCCCGAAGAACCGTTCATCGACCTGCAGGATCTCGTCGTGACATCACAGAAGGAGGGAGATGAACGGGGGCTGTTGGGGATGGCGTTTCACCCGCAATTCTCACTTAACGGCTACGTCTTCTTCCATTTGAATGTGCGAAGCAACAGTCTAGGGCAGTCAGGTCTCTTCAACAGAGTCATTCGCTTCACAGTTCAGCAAGACAATTCAAATAAGGTATGCCATGTTACCTAACATGGACCTATAATATTATATGGTCATAAAACCGATCCGTAGTTAGCGGGTTTGGTTGTTTAGCAGTCAAGCTTAAGTTATAGAGGACTACACAGTTGTGTAGATTTGAGTAACTTCATTTGGAAGTGCATGGTCAGATTGAAGTACATGATACACTAAGTTGTAATATAATTATAATTCATATGATTATGGTATTTCCGTCATCCAAACAAAAGCCATTCAACATTCTCTGCAGACTTTGAGACTCGTGACTCCTGTGTAACTACACAGGCTGGTGTCCACACTGTCCCCGGCCATTTCACATAGAAACAAGCAAACAGCCATGAATACTCTTCAGGTGGATAATCTGTTTTCTTTTAAGACACCTGCTCAGGATGCAGGTCAGTGTGGTATTGAGATGGATTACTTCGAGTATTTATGGCATGATATTTTGGGACGAAAGGTTGACCCGTACCAGAAAGTATAATGGGTGTATGTATGTATGTGTTTGTGCGTGTGTGTGTGTGTGTGTGTGTGTGTGTATGTATGTGTGTGTGTGTGTGTGTGTGTGTGTGTGTGTGTGTGTGTGTGTGTGTGCGTGTGTGTGTGTATGTGCGTGTGTGTGTGTGTGTGTGTGTGTGTGTGTGTGTGTGTGTGTGTGTGTGTGTGTGTACAAACTACAGGTTAATCGTTCCACTGCCAAGACCATACTTGAAGTGCAACAACCCTATGGTAATCACAATGGCGGAGAGATGTTCTTCGGTGTGGATGATGGCTACCTCTACATATTCCTGGGCGATGGTGGTGCTGCTGGTGATCCGCAAAACAATGCCTTGGACAGGTGAGATCTGCTTTCAGCCATTGTCAAACCCTGCCAGGACATGTACAGTGGTCCCTCTATAATCCGGCACCATTTGTGCCACGGAAATCTGCTGGATTAGGGAGGGTGCTGGATTAACAAATCTGATCTACTGCTGCAATGTGCATGAAGAGGACATTTGGCTACTGAAAATTGTGCTGGTTTATCGAGGATGCTGGATTAGAAAGTGCCGGATTAGAGAGGGACGACTGTACATGATTGTGCACACCTTACTGCTTCATTCTTGGCATGATCTGGACAGTAATATTATAGCTCTCTGAGTGGCATACTGCGGCTCAAGCTCATGGTCTACTCCTACCCAAGTAGACAGAATTCTGGAGCGTGATTCTCGGTTGTCCTCATGGCGTGGCTGTTCTCTCCATGTACATACAACACAAGCCGAGCACCTCTTGATTGGTGTGACTACTGATGTGTATGTGCATGTGTGCACGTGTGTGTGTGTGTGTGTGTGTGTGTGTGTATGTGTGTTGTTCTATACAAAGGAGCAATCTTCTAGGATCCGCATTGCGTATAGACGTCAACACTAACGACAGCACTCCGTACGCCATACCACCGAGCAACCCGTTTGCAGGAAGTGCAGCAACGCCGCAGGTGCGCCAGGAAACCTACGCCTACGGCCTTCGCAATCCCTGGCGTTGCTCACAGGACATTGGAGATAGGCACATGAATAATAGCGGCAGAGGGCGTATATTCTGTGGCGATGTTGGACAGGACCGTTTTGAAGAGGTAGGTTTTAAAAGTACATACAGTACATTGTACAGTGAGTCTCACGTTGGCCGTTTGAGGAATGAATAGTTTACCATTGCTCTAAGCAATCATCTCTATCAGCACACCTTAGCCTATATAGAGTATGCTGCTTGCATACACACACCAGATATGTGGTGTGCACATGCCACGGGTACGTAAACAAAATGGCATGCCGTGTGATGTTTTCACCATTTTTACTAGATTGACTTGATAGAGTCTGGACAGAACTATGGATGGCGTGCATGGGAGGCACACTTCTGCTTCAATGCTCAACAATGTCTGGTTGAAACCAGTAAGTGTATAATCATAGTACAAGTATTAAGCATATAATTATAATAAGTATAACAGATATAGTATATCCTGTACCTTTCGCCTCTGTTGTGTGTGTGTAGTATATCCTGTACCTTTCGCCTCTGTTGTGTGTGTGTAGTATATCCTGTACCTTTCGCCTCTGTTGTGTGTGTGTAGTATATCCTGTACCTTTCGCCTCTGTTGTGTGTGTGTAGTATATCCTGTACCTTTCGTCTCTGTTGTGTGTGTGTAGTATATCCTGTACCTTTCGCCTCTGTTGTGTGTGTGTAGTATATCCTGTTTGTTCGAAGAACGGACCGCCGAAGAACGGCCAGGCTAGAATTTCACCAATTTTTAAGACTGGTGTAGGCTGGATATTTTCAGATAAGAACGGAAACCGTAATGTACACTATAATGTACACTCAGACGTATAACTCTGCATGCGTATACATGTAAGACTGTACCATCGAATAAGAGCAAAACTGCTGTGTTCGCTAAAAATCAGAACGGGCTCAGCTAGAACCCTGACTCCCTCAGTTCCTTGGCGCCCAACAGTACTTAATAGGGGTGTGTGAGTGAAGTGGCCCTGCATGACTCATGCCACCTATCATGTCTCCACTCATGGATCCTATCATACATGACATGTACTTCATAGGCTACCCATGGGTCGGATTTGAAATTAGGACAGTATCTTTCCGGGACAGTATCCAACTGACTCGGCTACCGGGGACTGCACACACACACACACACACACACACACACACACACACACACACACACACATGCACACACACACACACACACACACACACGCGCGCACACACACACGCACCCCCCCCCCCCCCCACACACACACACGTGGCCCATCTTGCTACTCATCCAGCTAGCTCAGTCAACAAAGCATGGGGATCTTAGTCCCAGGGTTCTGAGCTTGATTCTGCCAGTGTGATCATCCCACGAGCAACTTGCCATGACAGCGTTCCCATTCCGCAGTCTGAATGCATCGGCCTTAGAGAGGTTGTGCTCTTCTTCTTGTTCCCCATTACCAGGCACTCGCTTCCCTATCTACGACTATCCACACAGTGTCGGCAAGTCTGTAACTGGTGGTTATGTATACCGGGGATGCCTGTCACCAAACCTTCAGGGTCTCTATATCTATGCAGACTTTGTCAGTGGGTAAGTTTTGCCATTGTCATGCAGACTTTGTCCATGGGTGAGTTTTTCAACTGCCATGCAGACTTTGCTTGCATGCTTCAAAATGTGACCAGCAATCCTGCTGTACTTCAAGTGCAGCATGGTCGTCGCTATCATAAGATCAAGAGCGGCAGGTCTGAGCCGTCTCTTCACTTTGCACATTCAATGTGTGTCTATGTCCATACTAAGCCTGACCAGCTACACACATTCTTGAGCATGCAACTACTCTGTACTACGAAATTAATGTTCTTGAGCATGCAACTACTCTGTACTACAAATTTTCCATGTGTAAAGAGTGTGCATCAAGTGTTGGACTGAGTACTCGCCAACTCTCAGCTCCACACCCCCGTGACCCGGTAGTGCCAATCACTGGCTTCTTGATGGAGGGTGATGTGTGCACGAAAGAGTTTTCTGTCTACTTTATTCCTGTAGGGGCGTGTATAACCTCCGACAGCCTCCCCAGCCGTCCCAGCAGTGGAATAACTCTCAGTTCTGTTTCGGGGATAGCTCGATGTGTAACAACGGACTTACTGACCTGTCAAGTACGAAATATATTCTTTCCTTTGGTCAAGACGAGAGTGGTAAGTGATTGCGGTAATCACCAAAACAAATTTGAAGTGAACTTTTAGAAGTGTAGGTATGCCGGTCTGGCTACCTCTCAACCACTGGACATGCGTCAGTCTGTATGCGACTGAAAGAGAAATCAAAGCAGTGATCTTTGTTTTTATTTGATGGGCGGGGCTTTCCACTGTAAGAGGGAATGGTGTGCAATCCTATGCCATCATTATGATGTGTGAAGAAGGTAGGCATGACTTTGAGACAGCAAGATATGCATGTCTGATCATGCCAGTAGCTGAATACCCTGCTTGACTGCCTTTCCGTCTTTTCCACTATCGCTGTTCTTTGCAATAAGTGCCACACACTATCTACTAGTACCTGCCAGTATTATCAACTACAGCTACACAACAAGGGCAATCAAGGCTTGTTTGTCCCTGCAAAGTTTCATGTGTTGGCACGGTTCTGTATTACGCTCTGTCAGCACACTGGATGCATTCTCCGGTGGCATTATCAAGTAGATAGTGTGTAGCACTTATTTTGCAAACAAGTAATGTATTTTTTAAACCTCGCTATACAATGTACAGTCGTTGCAAGTGAAGTCCGGAACGTTGTACAGGTGCCACAAACCGATTTCGATGGTCTCGTGTGTGCCAGTGTGTGTGCGTGCGTGCGTGCGTGTGCGTGTGTGTGTCTGTATGAGAGAGAGAGAGAGAGAGAGAGAGAGAGAGAGAGAGAGAAATAGAAGGGAGAGAGAGAGAGAATGTGTGCTCAGAGTGTTGAGTGGCTTTCTGCACTTCAGCTGTACTTGCATGCCAGAATCAAACCGTCTGTCGATCTTCTGTGTGAATTATAGGTGAGGTATACATCTTGTCTACAAACTTCCCATCACCAACATCTGCAGGAGGCAAGGTCTATTGGATAGTGGATCCATCCCGGTTAGTAAAGTTCAAACAACTTTTCAATGAGCCTACAAACAAACGTTTCCCTAACAAACGAGAACTGGATATTCTAATGTCCGATCTAGACACATGTGCGTGCTGGAGTTGTTACAATCAGTACCAAATTTACTATCCTGCTACAACCCAGCTTTGAGTCCACAATCAGAAGATCCACTGGTCAACACGTCGATGAGTTAATCTGCTCTAGGAGTGCATAAACGGCACAATGTATTTGAATTTGAGCTGCAAAACTGTTAAAAACCTACATTTATAGTGCGTCACTTCCAACAAAAAGTCCTCCTGTTAGCTCTACCAGTGATGTTGTTGTGCTTCAATCAAGATGTCGACCAATGCTTGCATCAGTGATGATCGATCGAGGAATTTGCCATTTTATGGAGCGTGTGCCGATGGAGTGTAGATGCTATGCAGATGCACTTTCAGTGTGATGTCTGCATGTTCTCGTGCCAATGCTTCTACAAGTACATGATGACAGAACTCAGTGCAGGAACTATACTGAATGGTCTTAGATTCTCTGGCGCATGGCGTGCCTTCTGTGTGAATGATGCATGGTGCTGTGTGCGCTGTGTGTTTGTGATTGCTGTGACTGTCCAGACGCGGTGATCCAGTGTGTGCTGTGTGTTTGTGATTGCTGACTGTCCAGACGTGGTGATCCAGTGTGTGCTGTGTGTTTGTGATTGCTGTGACTGTCCAGACGTGGTGATCCAGCTCAATGCAATACACTGTTCACAACAGCGCAGAATAGTGAGTACCAAGAACTGCGACCAGCAATCATTGAAAACATAATGTTCTCCACCTAAAAGCAAGGTATTCGCCGAATCTCAACCTTTGCTCTGTCTCTCCATCTCTGCGTCTGTAGCTCTGTCTCCGTTGCTCATTCACATTATCAGTGTTTGTCTGATCTTTGTTCTCCTTTGCTCCCTAGCTACAGAAATACCTATACACTTCGTGAGTGGAGGCAGTGTTCCAGTTGACTTTAATCCAACTTCTTCTGCATCCTCAACACTATCACATTCTTCACGTCCTACATCGTATCCCGGCAGCTCAACATTGTCACATTGTTCAGGTAATGCAAAATATGCCACTTTTTTAGATAATTATCCGAGTCCTATTGTGGAACAAGATGACTATTGTATTGTTTAGTTGGTGACACTAAAATCCCAACAGAGCACCAGATAGTCTACACTGATTTTACTAGCAACTATTATGTACATGTAAAAGTGCTATCCTTATGGCCGTGATATTATTATTATTATTATTATTATTATTATTATGAAATGACCCAAAGGCAATGTGCCTATCGAGGGGTTCATTTGATTGAAAGAACAGTAGATGTAGATGTATGTACAAAGAAGAAGTAGGGATTGATGAGGAGAGAAATGGGGAAAATCAACTGCAAGGTGGCGGAATTCCGTTGATTGCATAAGCATAGTCAGCTGTAAATTTCCTGAGGGCAGCTTTGAACTTATAGAGCGAGGCTTCCGATGTTAGACTGGGGGGTAAACAGTTCCATAGAATAGCAGTTCGGAACATGAAGAGAGACTTAGACAATGATTTAAATTTGGGAAGAATGATTTTATTTGGTCGTCGCTCACTATTCGTAATCTTGAAATGGAAATCAGCAAGGTAATCACGATGATGGAAAACATATCTGTGAAAAGTAGTGAGACTGATGATTTGACGACGATAGGCTAGTGACTCTAGGGAGCATTTAGAATTTAAGACAGATTTGGAAGAAGTGTAATCAAATGCAATTTTTTTCTTTTTCAGTAGAGCTCTAGCAAACCTTGCCTGTAATTGATCAAGAGTGGTCATGGGTTTCTTATTAGATCCAAACGACCACACCGTACAGCTATATTCGATCACAGGTCTTACGAACCCTTTGTACAGTATGATCATTGCCGAAGGCGTAAGTTGCTGGGACATAATTGACAGTAGGTGCACTCGATATCTGAACTTCGAAGTTATTGAGGCGACATGTTTGCGGAAATCCAGGTTGTCGGTCAAGGTGATGCCAAGATGTTGCAGTTCAGAAACCACCGTTAATGGCTCATTGTACATTTGGTATTGGATTCCTGCAGTAGGTGTATCATTGATAGCTCTATGGCACAGCACGGATGTCTTGCTTGCTATCAGTGCTGAGTGATTACTGCAATGTGTTCGCTATGTGTTCACACTGTTCATGCAGGCTTATCACCATGGTGTGGACTATTGCTGAGCAACATACTTGTTCTATGCATTCTGAGTCTTCAATGATCCACTCACTAACTCGACTAGACTAGTGAGAACAGCAGCCCAAGCTCACTCACCACCCTCAGTGTCGTCACGCCAGGATCAGAACTTAGCACAACCGATCACCGTGGATTAAGATACACATTTACTCTCCTCGTCCTTCCTCATTATATTTGGGGCAGGGAAGTACATGCATCATAGGCAATACTTCGACATTGCTGCAGTGGTGCTGACTTTCTCTCTTCCATGTACCCGTGCATGAAAACGAAGCAACGAGTCACCAAGTATACTTGGCAGACGTTTGTTTCAAGTAACGTCATTAGTTGATAACTTATACAGGACAGAGCGGTGTCTGTTCCAATTGCACATCAGGAATAATTTATTATGAAGCATGGTCACGGTATGTCTGGATTACATGAACAGTATTGGCATTTTAGCTGTCTTTGTCCACGGATTTCTGATACATTCTTTGTTAGTAAACACCGGTATTAGTTGTTATTCTTTTGATATGATGCTGGCCGTCCTACTTCAAAGTATACTCAACCATACACGAGCTGTGTTGAAATGCACGAAAATATTTTGAACTTTCTTCATTTGGCCATTTCTTGAAACTATTCCTGCAATATTTATAGAATTATAATGCCCAAAATGTCAAATGGGGTGCAATCACACGCACACACTCTACGTGTTGTTTTGAAGCGTAACTAGTCTGCATGAAGTATTAAAGTAAAATTGTAAAATACTTGTGAAGTAGTAATCATAGAAAAGCTTGATAAATACACTGGAAATGGAAGTAGATCTGATTAGTGTAGATACTACCGGAGCAGCACACCAAATATAACGCGGGTGTATTTTCGTAGTTGTTTTGTCAGTAAGTCGGGATAGCTGTACGGGTTTAATTTAATTCTCTGATAGTTTTCATAAAAATTGACCATAATTATAGTGTTTGCCTGGCAGAGGATTACGATGGCTGTGCATTTCGGTTTGTCAATGTTGGGATCGTAAAACTATGTCGAGATGCGCACACTGTAGCGGTGAAAATGGTCTGCGGAAGGAGCCAAACTAATCTAGTGTGTGCTGGTCTACTTATCAGGCTGCACAAGCTCAGCAGAAGTATTGTAATTCTTCTACGCAACTTCACCTGGTCGCGTTACCCTCGAGATAAATAAATAAGACTGATAATCTGGTCAATCTGGTCTGATACTCCTGATTTGATGACTTGGTGTGATATATGGTGATGGTGTGATATATCTAAATGTATAAGCACAGGTACATACAGGTCCACCTCTGCTGTCTCAGGCGGAGTTGACTGTAGCTAGCCAATCTCGGCCACCATGTGCAGCACTGCACCATATGCAGCACTGCACCATATGCAGCACTGCACCATATGCAGCACTGCACCATTCACTGTCTGTAGTTAGCCAATCGCGATCACCTGAGTTCCTTGTTTCCTTGTAGCTAGCCAACCGGGCTTGCTAGCACTACACGATTCACTGCCTGTAGTTAGCCAATCGCGATCACCAGCACAGCACCCCGTTCACTGTGAGTGTCCATTACTGGCAATCACTCAACACACTACTAGTCTATAAGAGAATAGCTGTGTCGCATCACTGTGTTGATGGTGATGTGCACAAACAGGCTGGCTCCTGGCAGCCTGTGCCCAGTTTGGGATTGCAGGTTGACATTACGGAAGCCTGCAGTGCGCGTGAGAAACAGAGAGACGGAAAGAGAGATGGAGAGAAAGTGTGTGTGTGTGTGTGTGTGTGTGTGTGTGTGTGTGTGTGTGTGTGTGTGTGTGTGTGTGTGTGTGTGTGTGTCCAGTTCTCCCACAGTGTAGAGGAGGATACCATCAGGGATCACAGCCTATACTGGCATGCCATGGTGTAGAGATTGTGTGCAGCAATGGTGTTGCTGTACTAGTATTCCCTTAGCTTAGCTCATCTAGCCACACGATGCTTAAAAACAGCACGCTGGGAAGCTCAGTTAATACTGTCACAAGTTTCCACGTGCAAGAAACTAGTGCAAACACAAGCATACACCGTCACTGCCGGCTTGATACCTCACCAGTATTATGTGATCTTAATACTCATCTCCTTACTATCCAGTACACTTTGGCATTCTTCGGTGCCGTGAGATATAGTTCATACTAATCTTCATTGCGTCTTCTTTCCACTCCTTCGACTTTTCCTAATCCGAGCATTCCAAGTTAAAAGGTCATTGGTTTCACGGCGGTGATGTGTCGGAGCTAGGTGCCAGGTGTTTGAATGCCTCGGTGCCTCTGTCAGTTTTGCACGGTGTTGTCGCACTATCCGACTGCACCCTGTATATGACCTGGTTGTATTGGAGGACCGCTATTCACAACTACTTGTGACAATTCTTTCTGCTCCTTATACTGCAAATCTTCAAATCATTCGCCTGGTGAGACCTCTTTTGTGCGATCCCATAACGAGAGAGCTTGGAAGCTCAGGGCCCTACGCTATGCTTTGTTGCTTAGCTCATCGTGCATGTTGTTAGAACTGATGGAAATATTTTTTCCTTTGATTAGCTACATCATTGTATTGCAAAAACGTTTCAATGAGTTACTGAAGTAACGTCTTCTGCATAGCGACGGGACCGGCGCTGACTCTGTCGATCACGGGCGTTCTGGAGTCGACGGGATGTCTGTCCTGACGTTTCCTGGGACCGGCGCTGACTCTGCCGATCACGGGCGGTCTGGAGTCGACGGGATGTCTGTCCTGACGTTTCCTGGGACCGGCACTGACTCTGCCGATCACGGGCGTTCTGGAGTCGACGGGATCTCTCTTCCGACGTTTCCTGTGACCGGCGCTGACTCGCCCGTTCACGCTTATTTTGGAGACGACGGGATCTCTCTTCCAAAGTATGTTTCTGCTGACGCATCCTATCACCTATTCGGCAACTAACGTCCATTCTAATTGCATTTCCTCCTCGTCTCCCTATTTCTTTCCAGAAAGTCTCCCTATACACCAGGGAGTCGTATACATAATACGACGAATATTGTGGCCAGCTGTGTTTGATGGTACGGTACGGTACGGGACAGATACGGGATAGCGCCAGGCGTGACACAAACAAATAAACAAATAAATACCAAATTAAAGCTGTGTGGACCCTGGCCAGCGCCAGACGTTACTGAAGTAAAGTCTTCTGCATACCGTAATTCCGCGCATATAAGCCCACGGGCCTATATCCGGATATAAGCCCACCTCCGGTTATAAGCCCATGGGCTAATAAACAGACACAAATGAGACTCGCGTGTCACTCTTCCTACCATTGTACAGCAGGTCAGTGCAGTTTACCAGTAGAGTATGGTACACCCACTATGGCCACGGACTTGTACTTTTTCGGGAACCGTCAAAATTCGAATATTGGCCCATGGGCTAAAAAACGAACATGTTTTACTGGATATTTTATCCCCAAACTGCATTATTTCACATATAAGCCCATGGGCTTATGGGCTTATATGCGCGGAATTACGGTAGCTACGGGAATAAAGCTTTCAGTTGTCAACAAACTTTCACTATTCAGGGCTTTCCAAAAAGAAATCGATCCATACTTTTTTGTTTTTACACGGGTCTGATCACTACTTTGGGCTAGCAACTAGTTTGGCCAGTTGGCACCAAGCGGCAAATAATTAATTAGCAAAACGTATTGATCGATAAAACTTCAGTAGTCAAACTTCACCTAGGGTTCCCAGTAAAAAAGGCAGTAGCCGTTGGGACTCCCCCCTAGTAAAATAATAAAAAAACTACTGCTACTACTACATAATCTCAGCATTCGTGCAATGCTCCTCTCACCTTGTTGAATGGCACTAAACGGCAGCGTTAGCTGTCCAACACAACGATCTGGCTTTCCACAGTCCAGCACAGAAAAGCGCACAAAAGCCAGTACTGGGTTGCTAACGGTAAACTTTGCAGTTTCTCCAAACGGCACTTGAAATCCTGTGCACAAACCGGGATGCCCAAACCGCCACACATAGTTTTGACAATGTCTGCAAACAAACATCAAACCTGTCGGCATGGATTCACGCTACCTTCTCTCAAGTACTAGCCCTGCCAATGCCGCCGGACTATCCAAGCTGCCTGGAGTCCAGACAATCCTTTTAATCTTTCTTCATTATTCTCATTGCGATGTGAGACTAGTATTGATTTGAAAGCCATATGTATGTGACCAGTATTCAGAATAGCGGGAGGTCGGGGGGGGGGGGAGTCAAATCTTGCCTTGCACATGAGTGCGCTTGGGAAACATACAGACATGGGCACTTAGTAAGTATTTTCAAAAACATGTTAACAATAGTTGACGTGTCATGACGGAAGACCATGCCAGGGTAGACATGTCCTGAAGGAAGCCGACATGTGACAATATCGATATCCAAAGACTAGGTGGCTGGGTGCATGTGTTGAAGACCAGGTGGCTGGGTGAATGTGTTGAAGACCAGGTGGCTGGGTGCATGTGTTGAAGACCAGGTGGCTGGGTGCATGTGTTGAAGACCAGGTGGCTGGGTGCATGTGTTGAAGACCAGGCAGGTGGCTGGGTGCATGTGTTGAAGACCAGGTGGCTGGGTGCATGTGTTGAAGACCAGGTGGCTGGGTGCATGTGTTGAAGACCAGGTGGCTGGGTGCATGTGTTGAAGACCAGGTGGCTGGGTGCATGTGTTGAAGACCAGGTGGCTGGGTGCATGTGCTGAAGACCAGGTGGCTGGGTGCATGTGCTGAAGACCAGGTGGCTGGGTGAATGTGCTGAAGACCAGGTGGCTGGGTGCATGTGTTGAAGACCAGGTGGCTGGGTGCATGTGTTGAAGACCAGGTGGCTGGGTGCATGTGTTGAAGACCAGGTGGCTGGGTGCATGTGTTGAAGACCAGGTGGCTGGGTGCATGTGTTGAAGACCAGGTGGCTGGGTGCATGTGCTGAAGACCAGGTGGCTGGGTGCATGTGTTGAAGACCAGGTGGCTGGGTGCATGTGTTGAAGACCAGGTGGCTGGGTGCATGTGCTGAAGACCAGGTGGCTGGGTGCATGTGTTGAAGACCAGGTGGCTGGGTGCATGTGTTGAAGACCAGGTGGCTGGGTGCATGTGTTGAAGACCAGGTGGCTGGGTGCATGTGTTGAAGACCAGGTGGCTGGGTGCATGTGTTGAAGACCAGGTGGCTGGGTGCATGTGTTGAAGACCAGGTGGCTGGGTGCATGTGTTGAAGACCAGGTGGCTGGGTGCATGTGTTGAAGACCAGGTGGCTGGGTGCATGTGTTGAAGACCAGGTGGCTGGGTGCATGTGTTGAAGACCAGGTGGCTGGGTGCATGTGTTGAAGACCAGGTGGCTGGGTGCATGTGTTGAAGACCAGGTGGCTGGGTGCATGTGTTGAAGACCAGGTGGCTGGGTGCATGTGACAGACCAGGTGGCTGGGTGCATGTGTTGAAGACCAGGTGGCTGGGTGCATGTGTTGAAGACCAGGTGGCTGGGTGCATGTGTTGAAGACCAGGTGGCTGGGTGCATGTGTTGAAGACCAGGTGGCTGGGTGCATGTGCTGAAGACCAGGTGGCTGGGTGCATGTGTTGAAGACCAGGTGGCTGGGTGCATGTGTTGAAGACCAGGTGGCTGGGTGCATGTGTTGAAGACCAGGTGGCTGGGTACATGTGTTGAAGACCAGGTGGCTGGGTGCATGTGTTGAAGACCAGGTGGCTGGGTGCATGTGCTGAAGACCAGGTGGCTGGGTGCATGTGTTGAAGACTAGGTGGCTGGGTGCATGTGTTGAAGACCAGGTGGCTGGGTGCATGTGTTGAAGACCAGGTGGCTGGGTACATGTGTTGAAGACCAGGTGGCTGGGTGCATGTGTTGAAGACCAGGTGGCTGGGTGCATGTGTTGAAGACCAGGTGGCTGGGTGCATGTGTTGAAGACCAGGTGGCTGGGTACATGTGTTGAAGACCAGGTGGCTGGGTGCATGTGTTGAAGACCAGGTGGCTGGGTGCATGTGTTGAAGACCAGGTGGCTGGGTGCATGTGTTGAAGACCAGGTGGCTGGGTGCATGTGTTGAAGACCAGGTGGCTGGGTGCATGTGTTGAAGACCAGGTGGCTGGGTGCATGTGTTGAAGACCAGGTGGCTGGGTGCATGTGTTGAAGACCAGGTGGCTGGGTGCATGTGACAGACCAGGTGGCTGGGTGCATGTGTTGAAGACCAGGTGGCTGGGTGCATGTGACAGACCAGGTGGCTGGGTGCATGTGTTGAAGACCAGGTGGCTGGGTGCATGTGTTGAAGACCAGGTGGCTGGGTGCATGTGTTGAAGACCAGGTGGCTGGGTGCATGTGTTGAAGACCAGGTGGCTGGGTGCATGTGTTGAAGACCAGGTGGCTGGGTGCATGTGTTGAAGACCAGGTGGCTGGGTGCATGTGTTGAAGACCAGGTGGCTGGGTGCATGTGTTGAAGACCAGGTGGCTGGGTGCATGTGTTGAAGACCAGGTGGCTGGGTGCATGTGACAGACCAGGTGGCTGGGTGCATGTGTTGAAGACCAGGTGGCTGGGTGCATGTGTTGAAGACCAGGTGGCTGGGTGCATGTGTTGAAGACCAGGTGGCTGGGTGCATGTGTTGAAGACCAGGTGGCTGGGTGCATGTGCTGAAGACCAGGTGGCTGGGTGCATGTGTTGAAGACCAGGTGGCTGGGTGCATGTGTTGAAGACCAGGTGGCTGGGTGCATGTGTTGAAGACCAGGTGGCTGGGTACATGTGTTGAAGACCAGGTGGCTGGGTGCATGTGTTGAAGACCAGGTGGCTGGGTGCATGTGCTGAAGACCAGGTGGCTGGGTGCATGTGTTGAAGACTAGGTGGCTGGGTGCATGTGTTGAAGACCAGGTGGCTGGGTGCATGTGTTGAAGACCAGGTGGCTGGGTACATGTGTTGAAGACCAGGTGGCTGGGTGCATGTGTTGAAGACCAGGTGGCTGGGTGCATGTGTTGAAGACCAGGTGGCTGGGTGCATGTGTTGAAGACCAGGTGGCTGGGTACATGTGTTGAAGACCAGGTGGCTGGGTGCATGTGTTGAAGACCAGGTGGCTGGGTGCATGTGTTGAAGACCAGGTGGCTGGGTGCATGTGTTGAAGACCAGGTGGCTGGGTGCATGTGTTGAAGACCAGGTGGCTGGGTGCATGTGTTGAAGACCAGGTGGCTGGGTGCATGTGTTGAAGACCAGGTGGCTGGGTGCATGTGTTGAAGACCAGGTGGCTGGGTGCATGTGACAGACCAGGTGGCTGGGTGCATGTGTTGAAGACCAGGTGGCTGGGTGCATGTGACAGACCAGGTGGCTGGGTGCATGTGTTGAAGACCAGGTGGCTGGGTGCATGTGTTGAAGACCAGGTGGCTGGGTGCATGCACTCTCTATACTGTTTACCATTTTGATTGACTTGTTTGGTGCGGAACTCCTGTCGGTCGCACGGCAAACCCAGGATGTCAATGCACACAACCGGGCTGATGACCTGCACATCGAGACCAGTACGCAGCAATACAGTCAAGACCCTGGTACTCAGTCAACCGCTCTGAGAACAACACACAATACAGTCCAGACCCCGGTACTTAGTCAACTAACTTGTGACCTTTCTGAGCCCATGTTATGACCAGACCCGGCGGCATCCATGGTGTCATGTTATGACCAGCAGACCGGCATCCATGGTGTCATGTTGTGACCAGCGGACCGGCATCCATGGTGCAGACCGGCATCCATGGTGTCATTGGAGAGAACATGACTACTGAAACTGTGGCCCACTTTGTCCTGCGGGTATTCAACCCCGATTTATCTCTCCGTCCCACATGGGATGTCCTTGTCTATGTAACTATACCCTTTCATCCCCCTCAATCTTGAGCAAGTTTTACATGCATAACCTCGTTTACAATTCATATTCAACAAAAAGTATGTGGAGCGATTGGTGGGTAAAGCAGGATCTGGTATAGTCACCTGTGCGCATACCCTAGTATTTTAGCTTGCATCACATATGTCACTCAGCCTACAAACTGGAAATGAAGTAGCTCGCCTGATATTACAACATACCTCAGCCGATGATGAACTGTGTGCATTAGGTAGCTGATGGCCACTTATCATCTGCAAGCCAGAACAGCAATGGCATAAACACATTGGAGTGCCACATGTGACTATATGAACTCACGGGTACTCTTCTGAATTACTCAGAGAAACTGGTTGGCACAATGACATGGTCACAGTGTCTGCTTGTCATGATACAACAGGCAAGTCCGTCCGCCTGGTAATGTACAATAGACACAGAACTAGAGTACAAGGGAGAATTCATATGCTAGTAACACATTTATGCATGGAATGAGTGGGGTGAGTGGGGTGAGTGGTGTGGGAACGCAGGTACATGTATCCACCCAAATTCCGTTCTCGACATTGATGCATGCAGCTACTTTGAAGTACAGTGAAGATTGGTTATAACGACATTGGTTTTAACGACAGATCAGCTACAACGACAAAAAAACCATGGCAGCAGCAGTTTTGTATTGATTTGTGTACAAAAAAGATCGGTTGCAACGACAACTCGAATAACGACAAATCGAGAATAACGACCAAATTGTCATCCACCGTAGTGTGAAAATGGGTCAAAATAACGGCATTCTCAAGACTGCGACGTACGATGTACGATCGATTCTGGCTTTCACAGGTGCCGCGGGACGGGTGCACAAGATCGTACAGTGCAGTCTAGTGTACATCAACTGTACACTGCACTGCACTGCACTGCACTGCACACTCATACACGCCCGGAAACTTCGAAGGAGTGTCGACATGTCGTAGATCTACTGACGGTAAAATACGTGTACTGTGTACAGGTGTAGTGCGCACTTACTCTCCGTGCCTTCCATAACTTCTGCGACGGATTTTCGCAATATTTGCCATGCTTCTTTCTCCGAGAAATCACTTTCTCAGTTGTCGTTGGACCAAAGACTTGGAAGTTCGAGATGTCTCGCCCTGTCTCTGTTGGAAAGCGAAAGCGCTTCTCCTATGCGGAAAAGTACGCCATTCTGCAGGAGCTGGACAAAGGTGCAAAGCGGACATTCGTTCAAGAAAAGTATGGAGTCGCGCACGGTACTCTCGCTGGCTTCATCAAGAACTGAGAGGAGATTGTGGCCAAAGTGAAGAAAGCGACGTCAATGGATGCCAAGAGCTCTAGGCAGTCGAATTTTCCTGAGTTGGACGAAGCGCTCCTTGTGTTCAGTTGAAAAAAGCACCATTGTGCAGAAAATTAATTTTGCCGCGTTTTGGTGTGCATATTGTGTTGGAAATCCCAGGATCGGATGTAGTGACAGATCGCAAATAAGGACTTTTTTGGCGTTCCATCTCATGTGTCGTTATAACCAAGCTTCACTGTATATAAAAAAAGAGTGTACCTCTTACCCGAATAGTAATACACTTCGGCTCTACGCCATAGGCGGACGGGGTGTTTGTCACACAATTGAACGGACGATCCTCTAGATACGTCAGCAACACAATAACAGCAGCCATGGTTACCATAGTTACAGGTGAAGGGTTCTCTAGCAGAGTGAGCTTTATGCCAACAACTTTAGAATTCTTGTTTTCTGTTATCATCTGACAGAGTGAGTCACAAAGAATTTGCTGGTTAAAATGTTCCTATGGTAATACAGTACAGCCTACAGGAAAAGCAATGTCCAAATCACCTTAACAACACACCCTGATGTCTGCACTGTCGAAGCTATGATCTAATAGTCGAAACACCTTTTCTTGCTTTACCTTGGATGCGAAGTGACCCACCTACTACGTCATGGCATACAAGTCAAAAATCCATATGAAGATTTGAATCTAAATCCGCTTTTCGCTCTTTCTGCTTGGCTGGAAGTTTCGTTAATATAGTACTTCCCTCTTTATTTTACAAAAGATATTTCAAATTCTATCTCATGTACAGAGCCACGGCTTTAAAGGGGCACTCCGGGAATTTTTTTGGTGGTGTGTTCTCTTCATGGGGGCCTTATATGGCCCCCAAGGAATGGGGAATCGCGAAAACTAGACCCAAAAAGTCGATATATGAAGCCAGGGAGGGCCAAGTTTGTCTCCTCTTTTGATGGTTTTGATGACATCACGTGTGCTTAGTATTCAAAATCTCTGCATTTGAAGATCTTAGTTGTTTGAATTTTCTGGTGATGAAGAACGATGTTTGGTCGACATTCCCAAGCTTCACATCTGCGGCCATACTCTAAGGAACCTGAAGGACCTCCTGAGGTGCCCCTGGTAGAAGCGCAGCCTGATGAGGGCCAGGAGATTGGAGCGGACGACTTCACTGGTCTGAGTACGAGGATCCCGAAATTCTCTATACGCCATGAGGCATATGGTCAGAACAGTTTTGTTTAGACAAGCTGACGCGAAGTCGGGGTGATGTGTAACGCATGTCAAAGGGCTGCCAATGCTAACAGCTGCAGCGCTCTCTCGACAGCAAAGGTAATCGACTGCCCTCTGCATCACCCCACATTTCTGGCAGGAACACCAATCGTTATTTCCTTGTCGACCAGTGAAGTCGTCCGCTCCAACTTCCTGGCCCTCAGCAGGCTGCGCTTCTACCAGGGGCACCTCAGGAGGTCCTTCAGGTTCCTTAGAGCATAGTCGCAGTTGTGAAGCTTGGGATTGTTGACCAAACATCGTTCTTCATCACCAGAAAATTCAAAAAACTAAGATCTTCAAATGCAGAGATTTTGAATACTAAGCACACGTGACGTCATCAAAACCATCAAAAGAGGAGACAAACTTGGCCCTCCCTGGCTTCATATATCGACTTTTTGGGTCTAGTTTTCGCGATTGCCCATTCCTTGGGGACCATATAAGGCCCCCATGAAGAGAACACACCACCGAAAAAAATCCCGGAGTGCCCCTTTAAAACTGAGACAGGCTGTATAATCAAATACACCACCATGGCTTCAGAGGTGCGGACACACGGTTAAAAGCAATGTCCAAACCCCCACAGCAACAGGCAAGCAATACGGCTTATGCCGGTTAGTACAAGTTGTACAGATCCCGTAGAATCCCGTAGACCCGGTTGGGTGTTGAATGTGCAGGACCCTATTGTGTTTTCTGCTATTTCCACAAGAAATGGGCCCTGAAGGCATTTCATACGAAATCCTTTTTCTGACAAAGATCTAGCTAGTCACTAGTTCTAACCAAAGTGAAGAAGCTGGAAAAGCGATTGCTTGCAAATACATTATGAGGCTAAGAGGTCAAATGCGCATGCATAGCACACAATGAACACCCAACCGGGTCTACGGGATTCTACGGGATTTCGTGAATCTGTACAACTAGTAGTACTAACCGGCATAACTAGGTCTATGCCCAGATCAGTACAATCAATAGAAACGTAGATAGCAAGACCACACTGCATTGCTTACAGGATCAGTAGGGAACTCATTGATAACGTCAAAGCAATCCTTGGCACAAACTAAAGGTAATAATACAGCAACTACCTACGCTCTCTTAGAAACTCCGGCTTCAGCACAAGACCACAGTTGCCATTCTGTGTGAACATTGCTCTATTCAGGTCCATAGCTACACCGGGTGTCTGGTAGTTCAGTGCAACTACATTTACCAAACACGCACATGCACACACAAACACACACACACACACACACACACACACATATACACACACATATACACACCTCAGACCTCAGACATGCCCATCGCGGGAGCGATGATAGCGAACAGCTATGTTTTTAGACATAGCAACTTGTGCTGGGATTACACCATCCAACAGCTTGCAAGGCTGATGAATTGACCGCCACTATTTTTAGCCTGGTATCCACCACACAGCTGTTTGAAGTGACTTTTTCTGGCCAGTGAATCCCTATTTTTCATTTTTCCATTTTTTTTCTTTTTTTTTTCTTTTTCTACACACACACCACACCACATACTCCGGCATACATATACACATACACACACACACACATATACACACACACATACACACACACACACAATCTAATCAATCACAAAAAAAATTGAAGTTGAAACTGTGACTGGTTGTTGCCGGGTTTTGGGACTGGTCACCCGTGGTCATGGGGCCTTTGTGGTCATACGGTTGGTTGCAAGGCCGGCATGTGACTGCTCATAGGACATTGGTTAGTCATTGAGTTCTACACATACATAGACGTACAAAAATATTAACTTCAACACAGCACTTCCACTTCATACTCTGATCCCCCCCCCCCCCCCCCACACACACATACACACACGCACCCCCCCCCCCCCCCCCCCACACACACACACAAACCCACACACACACACACACACACACACACACACATGCACACACACACACATACACACACACATACACACACACAGTGATACACACACACACACACACACACACACACACACACACACACACACACACACACACACACACACACACACACACACACACACACATACACACACACATGCACATGGCAGTTGGGCCACAGAAACCCTAGGCAATGTGCTAACATTGCTAACGGGTACGACCAATGCAAGAGTGCCATCACGCAGAGACTGGGTACGTACTTACCCATCTGTGTCCCACAGTTCCAGCCCGTCACTGGGTTCAAGTTGCTGGAGTCTATGCGATGACCGGCTGGATAGACCCGTATGATTTGTCGTTTAGTGTGCTCAGCCATTTGCTCACACGTACTGGAGCTAGAGAGTAGCTTGTTGAGAGTGTTCTCCTTGATGGATGACATCTCCCAGTAGTTACCTGCTTACACACCAACACCGTGAGAATTACAGTCAGAAACGGGCTGTCAATAGAACTACAACAGAAACGGGCTGTCAACTGAGAACTACACTGAGACTTGCATTGATACCACAGCTACAAGACTTCGTACACAAGGTACAATGGTACACTACAACCCCCCACCCACCCATGGGCACCTCCCCAGCTAGGTTCTCTGACAGCAAAACACATCTACAGAAGATTGCAACTGTGGTACTGAAAAGGGCAAAAAAAAGAAAATCTCATATATTCATAGTCATGTTAGATATACTTTCAAGTAGCACGAAAGCAGGTTATCTTTGATTCACCTGCTTTCAAAGTTGTGAATTTCACCGGTTGAATGATGTTGACCATGATTGACAGTTCCTTGGCAACCTTTTGCGACTTGGCATCCTGCAAAGTGTGAGCATGTGTGTGTGTGTGTGTGTGTGTGTGTGTGTGTGTGTGTGTGTGTGTGTGTGTGTGTGTGTGTGTGTGTGTGTGTGTGTGTGTGTGTGTGTGTGTGTGTGTGTAAGGGAGGGAGGGAGAAAGAGAAAGAGAGAGAGAGAGAGAGACACACACGGAAAAGAGAAATAGGTCCAGTTTGGATGTGTCGTGACTCAAAGTTTCATGCCACTGCAATCATCAGGCGACTTATAATAAAAACCTAAGACTAATCATTATGAACAAGATCATACGTGATACTTGGCGCTTAGATTGTCATTACTCTACGGGATTCACGAATGAAGGTCAATATCACACAGATGTTATGGATGATGTGAGGGATAAGTAATCGGATAATGTTGGCACTGACGTATGCCAAACCAGTCATTAAAAAGGTGCAACCTATGCAGAATTGAGAAGCTTACTACATTGAACAATGCCAGCAACCGAAAGAGCCTGAACAGAAGAAACGAACTAGTGTCAAAATGCCGCCATGAAAACAAATTATTACATAAAAAACGTCACACCTAGTACCTAGCGTGACATAGTAGAACAAGTAGCAGCCAGTCGCAGCTGCCGCGCAAGGACAGTGCATTTGATTGTGAGAGTCAAGTTTGCGCCCTACCCCAGTTCACATGGCGGTGTCCACAGGTCTAGAGCTGCATTGCACTGCGCATCATGTTTATACAAACTCTGTAACTCATATGCACAGTATACCTTTGTCTGTGTAGCGTCCAGGGATTTTGAAGGTGAAACCGGCCGATTGTTAATGGAATTTTGTCGAGATATTTCTGCCTCCAACTTGTTCAAGAGCAGCAGATCACTCTGGCTTCCACTTAACGCGTCCATTGTATTATCCAAGGAGGAAAGATAAGGCGATGATGGTCGATTAGTGCTACCCGACTGATCTGTAGCGCCAATGGTAGACTGGAAATTGGTGTTGGTATGGTATTTGCACATGCACACACACACACACACACACACACACACACACGTGCACACACATGCACATGTACACACACGCACACATGCATGCATGCACACACACATGCACACACACACACACACACACACACACACACACACACACACACACACACACACACACACACACACACACACACACACACATACATACATGCACATACACACACATGAGCACACAGATTCACACACAACATTAATATCATCATATTTGCTATTGCCCGTGTAGAGTGTGTGTCTGTACAATGTGCCGAGGAAGTGCTACAGGTGTTCCCGGGTTCTTGGATTCTTGGATGCACACTGATCAAGTGACTAGCCTATGCATAGGTCCGGTGATGCACACTGGTTAAGTGGCTAGCCTATGTATGTCCAGTGCCTTGCGACAGAACTGGTTTCACATTGACACCAGCAACTTCCAACAAAGAAGACATTTTCACCTCCATTTGCTACCATGTAAGAATGCCAATGCCAAAGGCCCGTGGGAGACACCAAAGCAATGCCAAAGGCCCGTGGGAGACACCAAAGCAGTGCCAAAGGCCCGTGGGAGACACCAAAGCAATGCCAAGGGCCCGTGGGAGACACCAAAGCAATGCCAAAGGCCCGTGGGAGACACCAAAGCAATGCCAAAGGCCCGTGGGAGACACCAAAGCAATGCCAAGGGCCCGTGGGAGACACCAAAGCAATGCAAAAGGCCCGTGGGAGACACCAAAGCAATGCCAAAGGCCCGTGGGAGACACCAAAGCAATGCCAAAGGCCCGTGGGAGACACCAAAGCAATGCCAAAGGCCCGTGGGAGACACCAAAGCAATGCCAAGGGCCCGTGGGAGACACCAAAGCAATGCCAAAGGCCCGTGGGAGACACCAAAGCAATGCCAAAGGCCCGTGGGAGACACCAAAGCAATGCCAAAGGCCCGTGGGAGACACCAAAGCAATGCCAAAGGCCCGTGGGAGACACCAAAGCAATGCCAAAGGCCCGTGGGAGACACCAAAGCAATGCCAAAGGCCCGTGGGAGACACCAAAGTACGCGTGTAAAATAATTCACATCTCCGTTACCACCACCAATAAGCATTCAGTGTGCTTGGAACACCAGCTCTAGTAGTTTTCCTTGTGCACACCTTCATGTATGCATCAACTTCTCCAGATATATGAATCTACCATGTCATATACTTAGTTCTTATCATACAGTACAAGGTCAGCAATGGCATGAAAATGAAAAGGCTTTCCGCATACCTGTCTCCGTAGTCCATCTCGAGCACCCTCAGAAGAGCTGCCAAAAGATCCCGAGCCAATTGCATAGATCTTGCTGCCACTGGTTTTCCTCTGCAGTGCACAGCACACGTCAAAAGAAGGTACGTGTGGAGGTGTGCGGATGTGTGCTGACGTGTGCTGATGTGTGCTGAAGTATGCGGAGGTGTGCGCAAGTGTGATTCCGCCTAAAGAATATAACATTTATGTACAACATTGGTGACATTTGTAAGTAGAGCTAAAGTGGAATTCACTCAGCACGTACTCTGATAAGACATACTCTTGCTTAGCACGGACATTGTCCGGGGCACAATACTAGTGTAGTGATCCATTCTGAAGTGTGTAGGGATAAGAAATACCCACTACCTGGGATACTATTACTAAAGGATACTGTCCTGCTCAGTCTCATGGGGGGGGGGGGGGGGGTACCTAGTCTTATAGTCGTATCCCGGTTCCACTGTACCATCACTGCTACTGTCCTGTTTAACAGTGCCGTGCCGCTGTTTCAGTACATATGGCATAGATGCATGTAGTGATGCACTGAAGCACGACTGGACGACAAATTGCTCATTCGAAACTACCTGCTCCAATGAGTACCGGCAAGAAGCCATACAATCCTGTAGACAGCCTTACCACTGGTTGCACATGCATAGTATCAGTCACTGTGACATCACATGAAGCATTAACTATTAGCCAACATTATATTTACAATACTGCACAAGACTCTTACGTGGTAAGGAAACTTTGTCAAGTTTGTGGGGCTCATGTCGTCAGATGGCGTGCGACCGTTACGATGCTCACGCATCCCGGGAAACTGCGAGTCGCCATCATCACCACTAATACCTGACTTGTCATCACCAATGTCCACACTCCTATAGCTGATGCCTTCCTGTGACACACAGTACATGTACACACAGCATGCTGGCAATGGTAGCGACGGATCCAGCGATCTCTAAAGGTGGGTGGTGGGGGTTCCAGTATAGTCAAAACTGAATAGCTGATACATGTACATGGACACGCATATGGTTGCCAGTAGCACATTTATGAAATATAGGCTGCAACCACACTAGGTACAAAATCACGTACAAACGGCATTACAGTAGAAAACGTCATGGCGACGGTTGCTAAATGCAAAATGCGCTTTGTAGGTTTTCAGCAACTGGCGCACCCCTGTAGAAAGCCACGTTTGTCGTTTTTGTCGTTTTCGCGCTCCATCTTCTGTGTACAACTTTGTTTTTGTACCTGGTCGTCGTACATAGCATCAGCATCAGCATTGTTTTTGAATTTCCCGGTCTTTTCCAGCGCATGTCACACGCTTTGGTACGACAACGTCACATGCTGGTCGCGTGAAAACGTCATCTATGCAGACCGAAAAGTGTAGTGTGGTTGCGTACCGACTTGTACTGAGATATGCAAGAAATTTTGTACTGTGATTTTTACGTAGTGTGGTTGCGGCCTAAGGGGGTTCCGCGGAACCCCTAGAACCCCTTCTGGATCTGCCCGTGAATGGGTTCCAATGGAAATAAGACTCCAACAGTGTACAGGCAAGAAGCTACTTGGAGTACGAATTGGAGTAAGAATCCCCTTCTAAAGTTCTCCAATAACTTGTATGGTATAAAAATAGCATTGATTTCAATGGTAAAGGTCCCAGGTTGACCAGATCAGCCAAAGTGTAGACTAATCTACATGTATTCTGTGACACCAAGAGTACATGAAAACCAGAGTGTGCAGCTTGGGGCCTTTTCTGCTATGGGTGTCTGTCACGGCGAAATTCCGTGATTACATCATATTTGGCCCAGATCTGAGGCGGGAAATGGCGTAGTGCGTACAACTGAGCTGCAGTTGTGCAGAAAGAGACCTGCTTGAATCCTGCTTGTACGCACTACATCACTAAAATGATGTAATCACGGAATTTCGCCGTGACAGCAACCCATCCGAGCTGCACACTCTGGTTTTCATGTACTCTTGGTGACACCATGATGATACAACTCTAGCAGATCAGTGACTGGTGTCATAGAGATAAGCTTTGTAATAGAGGAGGTAGGGAACAGCCAATTTTCCTTGTTTTGCTCAGTACTACAGCAAATTTCCTGACGGGTGTTTTTCTCCATTTGGCAAACCAAGAAGGTGTCCCATACCAAAGTTTGAGAAAAGCCAGGCTTCCTTGTGACGGTGGGAAGCTAGAATGATGCTATTTCCTATTTCCCCGCAGTGTATCTCTATGGCATCACAGCTCCGGTCAAATTAGGATGTCACCAAGATTTCGTAGTTCTTGTCAAAATTTCCAGACACTGTAACTCCGGAACGGCTTTTCCAATCAATGTTGGACATTCCGGCGCCATAGGAATTAGAACAACTGAAGAAAAAAAACTTGCACAGATGCAACAATAGCCTTTCACAAACCACTTTCATGTACACGTGCATTGTTATCTGTGCACGGTCACCTGTGCATCGTTATCAGTCTGTGAAAGGTTAAGCCAAACTCAGGTACCATAATTTTCCGAAGTATAAGCCGCACCTAGATGTTCGTCATGAAATCCAGACATCTCTACTCCGTTTATCACGGTTAATTTGACCACCGTATTGTAAGCCGCGCGGACTATTTTCGGTTGAATTACTGATGCTTAAAGTGCGGCTCGTACTCCGGAGAATACGGTATAGGCAGTAAGCACAGCCTGACTGTTCATCTCAGGGTGCCAGGTTCAAGCCCTGCTTGGGAGCTGGTGGGCTCGTCCTACCATGCTGTGACTCACAGTCAATTAGGAATGTGTGGCCTGGCCGGAGAGAAAAATGGATTCAGCGAATTGGATTTTCGGTCTTTGACCGTTGACTACTTTATGGTGAGTCTTGTTTACTCACCTCCCATTACTTGAGGAGGTGCCGCCGGGCCCTGATCCTTGACGATGGTGGTGTTCATACAGATGTGGAAAGGTCAGTCTGACTGGATTTTACCAAACGGTGATTATTTTTTAATTTTATTGTTATTATTTCCATCGTATAGGACAAAATAGGAAGATAGTTGCTCCTCATACTGGAGCTCGGGCTTTTCCACCGACTTGATTTGACACTTGACTGATTCACGACTGCTATCCAAACATCGGCAGAAAAGTACGAGCTCCAGTGTGGGGACAACCACCTTTCTTATAATTTTTCCCCAAAAGAAGTCGCTATCACTATGTCGTATACGACAAAATGTCACTGAAATATGCCAGTCCATGACAGTAATGGGGATGATGAGCTTGATAGTGAAAGACCCATCGTAGAATGGCACCTAGTACATAAGGCAATTTCCGGGAGTTTGGGATACCGGTACAAGATAGCAGCAATCCAGGATCACCGAATGGGGAGTCAAAAGACATAAGCTTCTTGCAACATCAGGCCTCTCCTAATACTTACATCCAATGTTGATAAACGAGACATTCTCAATTCTCGCTTGGACTTGAGATATGAACTATAGCTATCTCTTGACGATGAGTGACGCTGGTCTGATGTCGAGTCAGACAATGACTGTATTGCACAGTCACTTTCTGACTCAAGAAAACTGCCTGAGGTTGTCAGCAGTGAACCTCCACCAATCGGACAGCTATTCGTATCAATCTAACAACAAATAAGGGAATGAGAGAGAGAGAGAGAGAGAGAGAGAGAGAGAGAGAGAGAGAGAGAGAGAGAGAGAGAGAGAGAGAGAGAGAGAGAGAGAGAGAGAGAGAGAGAGAGACAGACAGAGACAGACAGACAGACAGACAGAGACAGACAGACATGCAGTCTGTCAAAGAGGGAGTGAATTAGGAGAGCATACAATTACATACATGTATGTGCTTATGAGAACGGCTACACCAACATGCCAACATGCCAATGAGGGGTTGTGGCGAGGACATGCACTGCAATAATGATGGCGAAACAGGCCTATCCTAAAGGTATTCATTCTTGAAGGGCAGACATGTTGTTAGCATTCTATTAGTAATGATTGAGAAAGGTTTTAGTATGAAAGAAAAATGTGAAGTTCCGAGTACCCTGTGCTCTTACATCAGCATACATTCCATCGATTGAGATTGAAATGTTGTCAGGTGACTCCGTGGAAAGTCGCGCTGTCGCTGCCTGTAATAGTGAATTGAGGACGAGAAACACAGCAAGTCAGTGTGTGCTCTGCCATGGCTGTTTACCCGGGTAGCCACCTGCCCTTGCGCCAACATGTTGCGAAAAGCACCATAAAGGTAGATATTGCACTTTGAGTGAATGCATTGGCCGAATACAGGACTGGGTGTGAGGCACTACTGCAAACGTGTTTTAAGTGTTAAAAATGACTTCACTAAGAAAGTGGTGGACATCACGCAACTGCATCATAAGGAAACTTCTTTATTGTGATGTCGAAAAATTATCGAATTTTTCATCCAGCGCATGCGGCGATTGCAAATAGCAACTGAATAGAGCAGGTGTCAGTTGACAAACCCCTTTTTTCTTAAAGGGGAAGTTAAGGCAAAAATTAAAATTTCACCAGTTGTAGTCTTCGGGGTGCTGAGTCGAATGGTCGTGGTCCGAGGAAGCTGAGACGCTCCCTTCCTACTTGAATCCCAATCGAACTCGCGCACTTCCACCGAAACTGGGTGACTGCGCCCTACGAGATGGGGATTTGTATGCAAAATGTCACTAAAAGCGCTTCTTATAAAAGCACGGATGACCGCGATTGGCCCATATGTTGTAGTCTTTTGGACGCTGAGTCGACTGGTTTTGGTCCGAAAAGGCTGCGATGCAGCGTTCCGCCTTTATTCCCAATCGAACATGGTTGAACAAGCGGTCACGTGCTCCTGCGTACGCCAGTCACCTGGTCACCGTGCCTGCAGGGTACAACTTACTAGCCTGTTTGACCTTTTTTGGGTGCAGTCCTGTCACTCGAGTTGAACTCGAGTTGAACCTTGGTGTGAAAGTTGTCACCTGCTGGCGTGGTGACCAGGTGATTTCGGCACCCAGGAGCACGTGACCACTTGTTCAACCATGTTCGATTGGGAATAAAGGAGGAACGCTGCATCGCAGCCTTTTCGGACCAAAACCAGTCGACTCAGCGTCCAAAAGACTACAACATATGGGCCAATCGCGGTCATCCGTGCTTTTATAAGAACGAAATGGCGCTTTTAGTGACATTTTGCATACAAATCCCCATCTCGTAGGGCGCAGTCACCCAGTTTCGGTGGAAGTGCGCGAGTTCGATTGGGATTCAAGTAGGAAGGGAGCGTCTCAGCTTCCTCGGACCACGACCATTCGACTCAGCACCCCGAAGACTACAACTGGTGAAATTTTAATTTTTGCCTTAACTTCCCCTTTAAAAAAATGACTTGAAGTACAATTTTACGTGAAGTTCAGCTTAAGATCCCTTTGAATCGGAGAATACGGTTAGCCAGTAAAGACGTATATGTCTCTTAACGCCGCAATGCCGCAAGACTTCACACCAGTAACTACCGTCAGTACAAAAGGGATTTTTTGCTGTTACTTTCTTCATGTTGTTGGGCTGTTTGGTTTACATGTATGTTTCAATATCAGTGCCATGGTGTGTTGCTTTATTCCTGCACTACCTAAATACCGATACAGTCCACCAGTGCAGATAACAAAACTAGACAGAATGAAAAGTGGTTGCAGAAGTATTCACCGGACGGTCTTCTCCCGCCCTTGGCTGCACCAGTACACAGAGAATTCTTCAGAATAGGACTCATTAATTGTGACCCATCACTAGTGATGAGGAGAAGAGCGCCGCTGTGGAGACTACTAGTATGGTGCAGGGTTCAGGGTTCAGGGTTCAGGGTGCAGGGTTCAGGGTAGCACTACACTGTCTCATCCAGTAGCAACAAGTCATACAAGTAGCCCTGCTGCTGCTGCTGCTGCTGGCCAAACACAAATGCAAACGCCACACAGGTAGCCCTGCTGCTGGCCAAACACAAATGCAAACGCCACACAGGTAGCCCTGCTGCTGGCCAAACACAAATGCAAACGCCACACAGGTAGCCCTGCTGCTGGCCGAACACAAATGCAAACGCCAAGGCAATATCACCATAATTATAGTGTACAATTCCTGGATTTCGACGGCAGTGAACATGTCCCTTACCGATACCGGCGAGGAAGGCTTTCCACTATTCACCTTGCATTGACCGGCATCACTCTTGCGCCACACCTGCATCAGACAATACAGATGTTCGAAGAGATAAACTGAAGTACTCATACCCACGCCACACCAGTATGCCATTGCGATCGTGATGAGGAGTATCCCCCCCCCCCCCTCTCTCTCTCTCAATGCAGTCATGTTTATATAACATAAGATATGAACAAGGTGAAGCTTATTACATCCACAGTCTCTTCAAACTAACTTACAAGTATTTACCTATTTTAGCAAGTACTCGCAGACTCCAGTGAAGCCAAATTACTCGAACACTCAAAAACAATTGAACATATTAGAGTTGAAGCCGCTTGAAAGAGAACGTGTTTTGAGCGTTTGAGTTGATGGACCATAATATTTTTAGTAAATCACCCATTATGTTATCGGATTCACTTATCTAAATGGTACAGTGTATTAAGTGACTTGGTATTGTCAAATCTGCATTAAATGCCCCCCCCCTCCCCCCCCCCCCCCCCGTTAACAGAAAGACAGGTGGTTTAGATGTACGTTGACAGGTTTGAATACGTAAGAAAGGATAGTCATCATCCTCCAAAATACAGGTCTATTCCTGCAGCGGCTGGCTAACAATTTTAAGGCAGTTCTGTGTGGTGCAGTATAAGGCGTCCCATACTTCATACCATTAGCAGTGAGCCTCTCCTCTGATCCGCCGGCTCTGCTGGTGGTCCTGCCTGTGTGGTATCTGCTCTTTCAAACACCGGGCGTGATTCCTGCGCATCGTTTAATTTCTTGTTCTTGATATGAAAACAGAATCATGGCGTAGAAAACGAAAACGACAAAGCGTTGGCACCAGGCTTTCGGCACATTTGATCAAAAACTATGTACAAACGAAACGACACATTAACATAGTATATGCGTTCACTAGCCGCACAGAGTAGATGCCACAGGGATGGAAAAGGAATGTAGCCACGCAACCCAAGAACATGCAAATGTCGAACAAAAAAATGTTCAGCTTGGCCGGGCTTTGTTTGGGTCAGTATGTTGGGCCGGCGGTGGGGAATTCCAAGAAAGACATCTACGTAACGAGTGCAATACTACTAATACAGGGAGGCTTGAACATGGGGTAACTGCCTGACATGCACACCTTCCTAGTGACCACTTTGCCAGAACGAAGCCGTAGTTGCACATGCAGACAGATATTTCCATAGGCTCTCTTTCCCACTTCGGCAACATGGCAGAAACCTAGCAGCACATAAACATGATAAGTAATGATGATAACACCAGAGAGGGCAATGGTAATACTGGTGCAAACCGGCATACCTTGATCAGAATCTTTCCTTTCAGCTTCTCCGGAGAAGGGAGGAATTCACTGTCTTTGTCTGGAGGGAGCAAGTAGAGTTTGTCTAAAAGAAGAATGGCCACAAAGAATCAGAGCACTTCGCTTGTTTCTATACAAGTGCAGTACAGGTACACACAAAACAACGTCTTCAGTATATGGACCAATGTTAGAATACATGGAACTTGGTGTATACTGAGTACTGGCATTTTCAATGTTGGGGCTGCAGTGTGACAGATTGTCAAATACCCTAATGTACACACAGAAAACTATTCAATGCACACCAGATTACATGGACCATCTTGGAGAACATAACTCCCCCCCCCCCCCCCCCCCCCCACACACACACCCAGTTGGAATTTCAGGATCATACAACATGTTCGGCTACACAATGGGCATATCTCAGTACACCACACAATTCTTCAGCTGCAAGACTTCGTGACGATAATTCATTTTAAGTGGCTAACCTCCAAACACGTTGAGCAGTTCTTGGGCCATCTTCTCCTGCATTGGTACTGAGCAATGATTTTCAAACGACAAGATCACTGGATACCTAAAAAGCACAACCACACAGCAGTATAGACAGTATAGACGTGCATTAAGAAACACGTACACACATACACATGTGCACACAAACACAAACACACACACCACATCCAATACACATACAGTCAACTTCGCGTATAACGACACTCGGCGGGGCATCAGAAAAGTGTCCTTATTCGCGAAGTGTCGTTATACCCGAAGTCCCATTATATGTATTGCAGTTGGATGGGACTTTGCTCTGGGCATGGAAATTCTGTCGTTATTCACGAATTGTCGTTATATCCGCAATCGTTATTAGCGAAGTTGACTGTACACTTATACATGCACGTCCATTCACATTCCACCCCCCCCCCCCCCCCCCCCCCCCATACGCACCACTCGCACCACACACACACATAGGAGTACAATTTCCAACTACTACGCATGTACACATATTAGGATAAAAAATACAGTCCCCGGCAAAATGCTTTTGTTCGTAAAAGGAAATTGCAGTTTTTGGCCACCGTGTACGCGTTGATGGTCAAGCTGATGGTCGTGCTAGTGACGTGGCTGCTGTTATCATACAAGGTTGTGTTTTCGGTGGTCGCACCCACGGTCAACCGGGGTGGTCTAGGTTGGGTAATGTCCCGTCGTGGATGGGCATGGATATCATGTTCTTTTTGTTGTTAGCAGCTGCCTATGATAATAATTCACTGGCTATCTATTTCTTACTCTTGTTCTCTGGCGCCCATACAGCCTTAGGGCTATGGGCTCATGATAATGATGTTGATGATGATAAGGGTACTTACGGAGATGTAAAGAAGGCGTGCTCTCTAATCGACAGCAGAGCTTGTCGGAAGTTAAGAGGTTGTGTCGGAGTGCGGCCATGTTTAATAACAGGTTGACCGTCACCATCGAAGCAATCAACTGCATTTGGAGCAAGAGAATAGTCGAATAGGACAGCTGCATTCATGAGGGTTTCTATTTTTTTATATCTATTTCCTGCACAATAACGGCTGGTCAAGCACACAGCACACTGCACACAGCATACATACAGCACACTGGGCACAGCACACTGTCAACTGTACACTGGTACAGATGGAATCTCGTGCCGTGCTCGATTCGAACACAGGCATGGGCCGGCATGTGCTCCTCTTCAGCATCAATGTCATCAAGTATCCTATGCAGTTTCAGAAGGCATGTTGCCAAGATAATATGAACTGAGCAACATACTAGCAGGTGGGGGACGGGCAAGTATGAATTGTTCGGGAAATAGAACCACAACAGTATGCTCTTGAAGGAACCATCTAGCACAAATAGTCATGTAGGGCATGATTGGAGAACAAACCCTGCATCCGGTACCATCCCCCCCCCCCCCCCCCAACTTCTCTGGGACCATTACACGGCGTGCTCTGCTACAACAGGCTGTGCAGGTAACGTATGTAGTCAGAGCCTGAGGGGCCTAACATAAGCACGTGCACACCAGATGCCGCATGCACGATGCGTGGCACAATCACACCGAGAACATTCACTCCCGGTCCACGGAAGCACTTACGTTCTACACATCTGCAACCCGAGCGCAACGCCCGTGCATAGCCCTGTTCCGTTGTTGGACCTTTTATCTGATCAGCTACCAGATACCTATACAGGAGGAAAGTTTAAAATGCATACATTGTACAACTAAGGCTGAAACAATACCTCAAACTGACCATAATGCTACTTGTACTTCGTTTCACTAACAAGCAACAAACGGTATAACGATGCAGATGATCTGACTGTGCGTGACAAACTGGCAAAGATTTTCTGTAACACCACATGCCCATACACATCAGAAGAGCTACTAGTGGAATAAGTGTGGTTGAAGTAGTTCAGAACTTCACTTTGAAAACCTAGACAGGTAATCTTTCTGACACAGAATGATGTGTCGGTAAGGTATATTTGCAGGGGATTAGTTTCACCGAATGGCAAAGTGTAGCTTTAAAGGCACAAAACTCTTTTTCCTGTCAGCGCATGATGAGATATCCTGCTGAGAGACACCTGCATTCGACACCTGGCTTGACAACGTCACAACATCTAAGATTTCAAAAACAAAGCGCTCTGTGATGGTGGCATAGTTTGAAGAAGGTGGAGATTGAGTAAAAATATATAACGTGCCACAAGTACCTCATCCACCAGAGTGGGACAACGAATGATTTGCCTTCGGAATTGATGACATGGGCTGCCAGGCACTAGCTAGGCATCGAATGGGGAGTGGTTTGAACACTTGAAAGAGGACTAGCAAAGGTCTGCCCAAATGAAATGCTCAGCATCAATTGCTTCGGTCCAAAGAGGCTTCAATGTACCGCATGCCAACAGGCTCCAAATTGGCCATTTCAGCACACAAACACACGGATTCGCTGTTCTCCAGTTTGCCTCCATTCAGTCATCAGAAGAATTCCACAGACAGCATGTGTGAGTTAGGTTGGGAACATTTGTGACGAATGACACATCACAGTTCCTTGAACCAAGACCACACATGGTAGTGCCCTCATATCTATGGACCCTCAGGCTTTCATTTTTGGGGACGTTCCCCTGTAGCTGTATACAAACTAATATTTTCCATATTAAGCAGTGAATGCAAAGGGGAGGATGGAACAGGTTTCCCCGCACGGAATACATACGTGTTGTGCGAGGATGCGATATAGTAGTGTGACAGGGGATGGTCCATATCCTGTCGTCGGAACTTGCAGCACTCGTCGTCCCATATATCGCATGCATCTGAAGTGATGTACTGGCGAAACCCTGAACACGGCAACACAATGCAGAGCGGAAAACTGTATTTCCCACTTCAGTGAACATTATTTCAGCCACCAGGCCCTGCACGAGGCCCTGCATACAGCCTGAGGTGTACAAGCTCAAGACCCAGAATGGGGATTCAAATACAGTAGGTTTCAGTTCCATAAAAGCATCAGTTTCAATAGGGCTTGAAAGTGATGTCACTCGTCACTTGGCAACAAAACTGGATCCACTTCGCTTTTCAGATCTACTCGTGTCAAGCTCATTTGATGCTGTTTCCCATACTTTTCGAAGCAGAAAGAAGCGGTATTTTGAGAAGAGGCCACTTGAAGAACTGTGGGAGCAATTTTCGATACCTAGTATACTCTTGACCCGGCAGGGCGGCTTCGTATGACCATTGTGCAGTGTTTTGCAGCAGGATGCAACCACAGGACAGAGGATCGCAGGTGCAGCTTCTTCCGATTCCCGGCGAGGGATCCAGAGCGCAGAAAGATATGGAGGAAGATGCGTGGGTAAGGATATGCAGGCAACCTGTACATGGATAGTTTTATCGTGATGTGCTATTCACGCTACGAGTAAATGCTTACCAGGTCTGCTAATGCGCTTTGCTTTGCTGTGGCGCGTTTTCACAGTTTGTATTTTGTTTGATTGAGTGGAAGTAATTTTTGAATTATTTTTCATTTTCCCATAGTTTGCGGGGACTGCTACATGTAGTTGATGCCAATAGTCATTACTTCAAAGTGACGGTGTTCAAACATTTGGTTGGCGACGGATGTGCGTAAATATCTACGGCGTGATAAATTCTAGATATTGGTTGCTGTAGTCTGTACTCCATTGGCATTTATTTATTCCTATCCTCAGATTTGTCCCTTTAATGTCCTGCAAACTTATATTTTTGGCACAACGACTTTGTTTTTTAATCAATGATAGCCATCTAGTCTAATCTAAAACCAAATGAGGACATGAACAAGAGTGTGCAACTCCTTATACATGTACTGTGAGTCGACACATTTTTGGCCCTTTCAAATTTCGGCCTCCCAGGGCTAAACCCATTTCGACCGCATCAACTTTTCGGCCTGTACTGCTGCCGCCTGTATACACTGTCACACTGAAGCTTGCAAAACAAAATTTCGGCTACAACAAAATTTCAGCCAAACATGTCCAGGCCGAAAATAGCCGAAAATAAACAGGCACCGAATATAATGTTGACTTACAGTAGGTGGCTGTTTATGATGCATTCTACTGCGACTATTGACTATTGTTTCAAGATATTGTGCAGCTAGCTAAACCCTAATGGATATTGTTTGCTCTGCGCTTTGCTGGCTACAAGACAAGGAGCCAGATGCCAGTTCTCAACTTTGTACCTGTCGTCTCAAAGACGGAGATAGAAAGAAGGACCCCACTATATTTATATGTAAAAAAGAGAAGAAACACATGAGAACGAGTTATGCAGCACCTATCCACGACTGTAACAAGATGATTAACGGTCAGAAAGTGCGAGTCGTGGATAGTTGCTGCATAACTCGTTCTCATGCGTTTCTTCTCTTTTTACATTTATTACTGGCTCAGTATCCGAGTTTAAATTTTGCCCACTATATTTCCACGAAATAAGGATAAGGCGTTTGGTTTTGAGGACCCTGAACCAATGCATAGAAGGTATGTAGTCTAGGTCAATGTAAGAGATTTGTATATTGAACTTGATGGCTCAAGCCATTTCTTAATTAGCTTAGTTTTGCCTTCTCACATGAAGTGTGCTATGTGAATCCTAGTAGATGGACCAGATCAGTATTAATTTTCATAACACTGTGAACCATCAACAGGCAATCTTTCATTTTTGCTTTGCTTCTCACTGGTGCTCCATTATTCTGTGCAGAAAACGGAGTGTACAGGTACTTCCTCCGCGTCATCGAAATTGTCGCAGTTTGACTAGTGACTTGTCACTTGTTACTGACAACTCCATAAGCTAAGCCATTCAAAACTTATTACACAGTATGATAGTCTGAAGACTAGAGTAACGTTCCAGGACTTTTGGACTGAGAGTTTTCATGCAGAGATGAAGTCCTCGTCGTCGCTGATGTCAATGGACGCAAAAATATCGTTCCGAAATATTTCAAGGAAGGTTGAAAGTTGGTCGCGCCTCATCTCAAACGCTTTGACTTTCTCCACAGGACAAGAGCTGCTATGCTTGTCGTCTGCTAGCTCTGGATGATTTCTACTTCACCACCAACGAAGCCTAGTAAGAATACACGATCGTTGCGAGGTCGGTTGATTACCGTCGGCGGAATCACCTCGATCTTGTAATGAACATTTTTTAGCCGTGGCATGCCCATTTATTTTAGCTGTGTGGTCACAGCTCATGCAGGTAAGTGTACTATCACGCCCAGCGCGCCCTCTTTTTCAGCATCACTGCATGCAGTACTGGTATACCATAGTACGGCACCTGCGCGTGCATCACTAGCACTACGTGTAGAGTCTACACGGCTCTTGCAGGTACAATCATGTGCTGAGTGTCTCAGCCAGAGCGACAGATGTTATCGCTGTTGCAGGCATTTACTTTGCTGACCCCTCGATGTTTCTCCAAGCGCTGCCACTTGTTCCACGAAGTCATTCTCACCCCAGCTAAGGTAAAACAGTAATGAGGCTTGAGTGAATGGCCATAAGCACGAGAAATGTGCAGGCTGCAACGCCTGACTGATCTCAGCGAGTCGAAATTACCATCGCAGCGACATCAGCGAAGAAATTGCGTCTAGTTCAAAAATTCCAGCTTCCAATATCAGAAAATAGAACTTTGCCGTCACCCTATACTGATGATTATCGCCTATGTCCGATCCCTTGCCTCTGGTACGAGTGCTGGTGAGTACATACCCCGTTTTATATCAAAAGTCAAACTGCGACAATTTCGATGACGCGGAGGAAGTATTAGCTATTGATGATACAGACTGTAAAGGTATTAGCTATTGATGATACGGACAAGGATGGTAACCAGCCAACTGAAGCTGCTCCATCTGAAGCTGACCCATTTGAAGCTGAACGTGAAGTTGCTGAAAGTGAAGCTACTACGAGTACTATGCAACGCCTGCTTGAACTTTTCCAACGCATCGACACGGCAATCCTCGAAGAAAAGTACGATCAGCTGGAGGCTAAAGTAGTGAAAAGCGAAGTTGGAAATCCAGCTCTGTTTTGAATTTATTTCCCGGAAGGAAAGCTGAACTTGTCCGGCACTACACCAGCCTGCCGTCTGCTGAAGATTTTTGTATCCTGTTTCGTCTTTGCATGAGGTTCCCGATAGAATATTACCAGGGCTGGCGAGTGGAGCTGGTACCAATGGAGGACAAGCTCCTCATCACCCTCATGAAGTTGCGGTGCAACTTCAGCCTGACTGACCTCGGCTTACGTTTCGGCACTTCGCACACCACTATATCTAATATCTTCCATACATGGCTTTCTGTCCTTCATACTGTACTCTATCAAGGCATGCTCCCGTCGCAACTTCCGTCCGTCACAAAAAAACAAGACTTCTCTACCCGTCTGCTTCTCTACTTTCTCCAGTTGTCGTTCAATACTTGATTGTACTGAAGTCGAAATTGCAATTCCAACCCGTATGGACACTCAGACGTGGACCTATTCCCACTACAAACATGAAAATACATTCAAAGGTCTTGTGGGTGTCGCACTGAACTGTGTCGTCAATTACGTCAGTCGTCTCTACCCAGGTTCGACCAGCTACAAAGAAGCCGTTCGCCACTGTGGGGTACTGCAAAGTTGACAGCCGGTGATATGGTACTTGTCGATAAAGGGTTCCTAATCCACGACTTGATGCCGGCTGATGTTTCTCTAAATCTTCCTACTTTTGTCTCAGAGGAAACTGTTTACTTTTCTCACTACTCCTCAATTTACTGCTGCTCAAGCAAATGTAACTGCCCGCATCGCAAGAGCTCATATTCATGTGGAGTGAGCCATACAACGCATAAAGATCTTCACCATTCTCGACTACATCCCCTACCAATACCGTTCTTTCTCAAGCGAAATCTTCCAAGTCTGTGCAATGCTAACTAATCTGTGTAATCCTCTCCTGAAGGAGATTGAAGCTGGTGACCTCCAACGCTGATCCTGCATCGGAAACTTCTGAGCACACCGACATCTCTACTCTGACACCACTGCAAACCTCTGCTGCTACGCCGTCACAGCAACTGTCCATCACACCAGACATACTGAATCAGTCATTGTCACTCCCGTCAGCCACAGCATCAGCATCAGCTGCAGTCTTGCCAGCCGCAGTCCCGCCAGCCGCAGCATTAGCATCTGCCGCAGTTCCATGGGTCCCCCTGGACATATTGCATTATTTACCACATGACATGTGCCAGTCTGGAATGGATGGGCGGCAATGGAGCAATGCCTGTCACCATCATTGCCTGTCTACAGGCCTGGAAGTACATGTACCTGACTGTGCCCTAACCCATACAGCCATTGTCATCTCCCGAAGTCACGGAGAGATTTGTAAACAGCATGAGAGAGGGCACTCGGCTGTATGATGATGCCAAGTTGGGGAACAATCTCTTTACCATTTATGATGCGCTTGATGTCATACCAGGCAAGCTGCTTCGGTTGACACCTCGTTCCGATTTTGGTGCGCGAAATGAGGAAGGTTTGTCAAAGTTATTAGGTAAGTGTAAGGATCAGGCTTTTCTTTCCCAATCTGTTCTTCCGGTCTCTTTAATTCAAAACCCCTACACCATTCTTCTGGTATTTTTCCCATCTGGTCATGCTCAAGGGCGAGCGTGGGGCCCCTATTGCCATTCTGCCAGCTGACATGAAAGTTGCAGCAAATTTTCTCTCCACACTTGCTGGGCACGTAAAAGATAGCCATCTCTGTACATTGGCACGGGAACATTAGTTTATCTGTAGACCACAGATATGATACTTGTATGGTATTCTCTTGCTACCTTTGCCAAAATTATTTTGACGCACTGATTGTGACGAGAAAAGTAGTTCTGGAAACTATAAACACTTCATCCATATATGTTATGGCGGCTGCATTCATTCTCTTCATTCCTCCTCTTGTAATTGTTGTATTAGTGAGGTTTCACCCCATGGAAAACGTAGGAAAACCGTAGTTGTTATTCCATCTCTCCTCTATAAATTTTCTTCTCCTTTTTTACCAATGGGGAGGGGGGGGGGTACTTTAGCCTGTATCCACCAATTGCAAAACAAAGGGCGTTTGGGACAGGAATTTTCAAAGCAAAATTGAGGTTTGGCATTAAATGTGTGAACCGTTGGTATATGCACCTGCATGATACACTAGAGCACATGCACTGAGCCAGCCTGTGACGGTTGTTACCTACCATTCAAAGTAAGTGCTCCTGCTGGCATTGCCTCATCTAAGTAAGGCTCATACTTCAGAATAGCATCTTCCAGGGAAATACCCTTCTCCTGTATCACAGAGCAAATGCACATAGACAACCATGCAACTGTTATTTCAGGGGCGAAGCTGGTCCCCTTCGGGGGGGGGGGGGGGGGGGGGGGGGGCACGGCTGCATATGTGTAGGATGGCTGGCGCATGTCATTCCTGGTCATTACGAGTATGTGCATGCTGAACCTACTAGGTCAAACATTTTAGGGGAGGGGGGCACATGCCCCCTGTGGGGTCCCATGCGGGCTACGCGCCTGGTTATAATGCACTGTAGTGTGTACACAGAGAGCGAATACAGTGCAACCTGTCTAAGTCAACCGGTCAAGGGACATGAGAAACACGGTGGTCTCCTCATCCAGGGTCATTCGACTGGTAACAACAGCCCTTGGCCCTAGTTGTGGTGGTCCTCTGGGACAGATGGTCACCTTATCAGAATGGTTGCCTGGAGTGGTAAATACTTGACATGGCTCACATTTTACCGTTCCCGCTAACTTCGATCGTCGGCCTGTACCGTGTTTTGTGTGTTTTCAAGACATGATTAGCATTTCGGTTTCTGACACAACGATTGGCTTGTGACGTCACCCTAGGTGGAATTTTACCACTTCGTTCTCCCGCTACACAGAGCCTTCCATCGTGAAAACGATACCAACCCAACGGTATTTTGGGTGCTGGGTACGAGTATCGTTGGATTTAGAGTGAACGACAAAAAAATGCTAACCATATCGACTGTATGTAATACATGTGTGTTGTGACTAGTGGTGTGCACGGGTAGTCGGGTACCCGTGCTACCCGTGAGGACCTCGGGTAGACGGGTACCGAATAGTACCCGAAAACCCGAAGTCGCAGATGACATTATGACTTGATTCATGCACAGTGCACGTGTACAACATTTAATAATTCACGTACTACTCCGCATGTCTACCCAGTGTGTAAGGGAAGGGGCCGGGGTGCATTGTGGTCTTACCATGGAAACATTACCCGATCAGGTACCCGTGCTACCCGTGGAAAACTACCCGGACCCGGTACCCGAAGAAAATGCTACCCGACTCAGCCCTAGTTGTGACAATGGTATGTACGGGTTACTGATCAGTGCGTTAAAGCCACTGTCGGCCTATGTAAAATTGCAGATGATTGCATTGCTTGTTTTGGCCGTTGGAATGAATTCTAGAAACAATTTGCCTTTCCACTTCCTTCTACTCTGAAAACAGCTAAAAGCAAGAATGAAATGTTAATGCTGCATCGCTCCATCAATATGTAATCTAAACCATTTGCAGGAGTTCTGATGACTGACCTCGCCTTGGATGGACAGAAATAGATTCCAGTCGTCCTCAGTTAGATAAATCTGGTTTGAAGAAAACCTGGCAGCAGAGGTGTGTACATGGCAAAAAAAAGAAGAAGATGAAAATGTAAAACAAATGATAGCGACGTGAAGCAGCACTGGCCTACAGAATAACAGGAAGATCCACCCGTCCAATTTGCAAAAGGATTACAAAATGCTTCAAATAGATGGTATGAACAGCAGCAGCAGTAGCAGCAACAACCTGATAGAGTAGTTTAAAAGCATTGGCTTCATAGATAAGACCAGTGAGATTCTGTGGGTTTTGCTCGTCATGTTGATGTACATTCCACTGCAAGAATGCACCATGGGTGTGAGCTCTGTTCAATTACCTTTCAAATACCTCTTCAATTTCTCCTCGGTTTTCAACATGCCTCCAGACTGCCGAGAAACGCTCCAGGTCGAGGCCTATCTGCTTGGAGTCCTGCACAACACGAAAATGTCCACATTCAATCCACAAGATCATTTCAGTAGCACCGGTGGTACATGATCATTCTGTAACCGCACCTCACCACTGGCGAGTCAGTTGTGTGATTCCGTGACTTGTAGAAACGCAAATACATGCACAGTCGAAAATCGGATTCTCTCCTATCACAAATGCCGAACGTAGGCACTACATCTCTTGTGGCAGTTGACACGCACATCCTATTGTTGATCATAACTTCAAAAGACTTACCTCCAGATTTTTAAGGAAGACAGCAACAGCCTCAGCACTCATATTCAAGCGTCTTGCCATGGCGATAATTTCGCTTTCAATCAACGTGCCATCCTCGTTCTTGTCGGCAAATTCAAAGAGCGCACGCACCCATCTAGGAGAAGTTCTCATTTGGTCAAGGAAGATTGCTCACGAGACTGTGACACTGAACTGACTTCAGCCATATCATGGAGTCAATGGTGAAGAAACGGCAACCTTTTGATCCCCCCATCCTTTTGATACACAAAGTTCAGTTTTGACAGAAATGGTAAGCAAAAGATTCCTTGTATTCAAAAGGCATGGCAAAATGCTGAAGTGTCGCAGAATCACCGGCACACATCAAAGTGGACTGAATGTATGTGTTCGGAAAACAACAAATGCATTATGGGTGTGGAAAGTACAGTCCTCTCTCATAGGGAAGAGAACTGCTTGTTCTACACCTACATGTATATCTAGGATAGTGGCAACTGACAAGGCATCAAATACAGCAATGGCAGGATACGGTGTGGCGGCCACTTCCTTGCCTGTTGAGGACAGGTCATTCTTTCCTATGAAGAAGTCCGACACAAACATTTTGAACATGGTGAAAACGACACAATTGTACCGTGACATGTACAGTACCATGTTGTTGGCTGACAGCATGTTACAAAGCGGAGGACACACTGTGTTCGGAAACAGCATGTTTAATTTGCCATGTTACAAAGCGGAGGACACACTGTGTTTGGAAACAGCATGTTACAAAGCCGAGGACACGCTGTGTTTGGAAACAGAGCTCCTTACTACACTGACCATCCACTTTTGGCACGTGTGTGCCGTGTGACTATACTTACTTGGAGATTTCTTGCCAGGGTACTGATACATGGTGGTGCCTTTCTTGTCGCAGTTCAGTCGACAAGACATGGTGTAGACGTTCTGCTGGCCGCGCAGTGCCTTCATGATACCCGAGCGAGACCATCCAAAGAGGATGGGCATCTTTGGCGTGAATTCAAACTGCCACTGATCAGTTTCGTCAATGATGTAGACGGAATTCAAGCACCACCTGCGTGTGGCAACGATATCAGCACAAAGACAACGTCGTCGAACACAGTACACAATTGCACGCTGATACCTAACTACCCAGCTAGCCACACCAGTCCTGTCAGCTACAGGGCACAGCACACACCGTGACACTGCAGGCAATGACAGTTAGGTAGGACAACGTCCAGTGCCATTCTGTACAGCATAGTCAGTGAGGTACACGATAACAATGGAAATAGCACAGCCACCCTGTCAGGCCAAAGCCCCCCCCCCCCCCACACACACACCTTTGAACAACATTTTGGCAATTCAAGGTACGAGTATATTCGGAGTATAAAGTGCAACCCAAGTTCGAGGATTTTTTTATTTAATCAAGGCACAATTAGAGATCCTGTTCTGATATTCATACTCTATGGTAAGCAGTCCTAACCACTACGTGAGCCGCGGACTTTCAAAACTGTGACGCGAACGAAGCCTACCAAATACCGACTCAACTCCCATAACCAGCAAACGGTTCGTTCATGTGGCTTATGTTTGGTCCGCAGAGGTGGCAAATCCAGCACCAGTTTGATACATTACACTAACTTTTGTACTATATTCGTAGTGCATGCATTTTCACACCCTCAATTTTGAACCTCAAGTAGGGCATCTCAAATGCTCACTCTACTCTGGTATTATACAGGAGAGTTTTTAGGTTCTGCTATAGAGTACCACATGTGCATGCACCCGGCGGGACTCGGCGATTGTGGTAGACTGATGATCTGGAGAAGTACCACATTTCCAATGCAGAACAAGGCTACAACTGAGCTCAACACGAGATGAAGACAGATTACAGAAGGCTGCAACTGAGACTCACCTAGGCTGAAAGAACTTGGGAGTCAGGTAGGAAATTAGAATGTAGAACACTTCACCGAGCGGCGCACGAAGTCTAATGTGGAACGCATCCGTTTGGCCACGGGAAAACTTCTCATCATGTGACAGTGAGCGTGACAATGCAATCTCCTCAGAACAGCCATTCTCCCCAACAATGGCAAGACAAACCACGCCAGTAGAGCCACTTGCTGATCTGCTAGTCCTGTCTGTCTGCACAAATATCAGGTATGGATATCCTGCATGATGCAAAACACATCATATGCCACAAGTAAATGATTAGGTGTGCTCATTTCAATGCATGCCGCTTTGTGCTGTGGGTGTACGTGTGTGCACAAGTGCAAGGTAAATTCAACATGCTCCACCTGTTCATCCTGAATCTTGTCCAACTCTCCCCCCCCCCCCCCCCCGACCTGAAAAGAAGAGTTGGTAAAGAAGATTTAAAAAAGCATTTTGATCACTTAACCCCTGCACACCCACAGTGCTGCATTCAGTATTCAGTATCACCTCGATATCACAGGACTTGTCCATACAAGCAAGCTCCCTTCTGACCCAGTACAAGTAATGAAAGAACACTGAAGTATATCGGAAGATCACTTACCTTCCGTTGAAGATATATTCTTCACCAAGTGGATCTGCTTCATGCACTCATTCCGTGTACTGCACAACACTGAGTCACTATGACTGTCATCAGATGGTGATGTTTCTGATAAACTATCATCCGATTCAAACCCAGCCAAATGTTTAGATTCCGACATTGGTGACGACGAAGGAGACGAAGACCTGACTACGTATCTGCCCCCACTGCCCGGCTCTAAATAAATGGCAAGCGGTTTGGCTGCATCCTCTGTCACGTCCATACAGACATCGTTCATGTCGAGTGCACAGGTCATGGCGCTCTGTCTCCTCATGTCCTGCACTGTAGTTTGAGATACTGTGTGCTGGTCATTTCCTTGTAATGGAGGCGTGACATTCTCATCAAGAATACACCCACTGGCAGTATGACTAGCAGTGCTTGTTGCAGCACTGGGTAAATCTGCACTTCTGACACTCCTCTTCCGGACACTTTTCCTCCGAAGAGATGGTCTTGTCCTGACTTTTTCTTTGGATTTCCTCCCAGGAAATGTTCTATACTGTAGCTGCTCCGAGACATGATCATCTTCAGGAACCGTGCAACAGAACTCGCCATCTAGACTACATATCATGTTGCTGCTGTGCTGAGGCTGCTTTGCTAATGACTTTAGCCGGTGGGTGGCTTCCATAGGTGTTCCTCTTTCAGTGCTGTTGTCATCATTCTCCAATTGTCCTGCCTGTCTTGCCTCACAGTTTTGGCTGTCATTGTGTTGAGATGTTCGTCTGGACTCGGAACGTGCTTCCTGCACACCAGAACTGGGCTGTGGAGTTCGTCTTCGTTTGTACATGCTGGGATCTTCAGAGAGCTGTTTCGGCAGACGCTTTCGCTTCTCAGCTGGTGCTCTCACAGAATGTGAGCGTCTTTCCGGCAGACTAATGCATGAATCACTGTCCCCGCAATTGCTTGATGTAGACGAGCCTTTCCAGCGTTGCTTGGATGGAGACCGTGATCTGGAGACACTTCTCCTCTTGCTTTTGACTTTTTTCTTCTCCTGTTCTTTATCTTGTGCTGCTGCCTTCCACTGCTCATACACAACCTCCCCGGCAATGCGCTGTAACTTGCCAACATGGCCTTGTGCGGGCATGTGATTCTTCCGTCTATGTCTCTGCTGAGCTCGAAGCTTGTCCTGTATGGTTGTTACAGGCACACTTACTCTTGCGTCAAGGGACTGTGCAGAGCTGGCAGCCCGCTCAATGTCATGCTCAGTCGTAGCAGCTAAAAGTGAACTGCTGGGCGGGTTCTCTGTCGCAACTGTATTCTCACATTGTGTTACACCAGGCAATGGTGATACTGCGTGTAGGTTCTTATCACCATGATCCTGTGCAGCTGCTGGGGAGATGGAAGTGCGGTGTTGCTTGACATTGCCAGCATACGTGGTCTGTGCCACAGCTGACGTATTCGAGTCATGTTGGTCAACATTGTCTTCATCCGGCAGCGAGTGTTGATCTGATGTTGCAGGAAGCGGTGGCATAGATTCACTTTTAGCTACACGTGACGCAATCTGCTCTGATGCACTTGGCAACGATGCACCAGCATTAGTTGAAGTGCTGCTTTGTCCACCCGTGTCTTTATGTACATGCCCAGTCAATCTTACTATGTCAGGTAGGCTTGATGGCTGCAAACCAACACCTTGAGTCACATTATTTCCATCAGTTTGGGCAGCTGACGGTTTCCCATCAATCGCAAGTGAATCAGCAGGCAATGGCTGTTGTTCACCAGCAGAGGGATGGGCACAAGTCGGAATAACTGTCGAATCGTCTTGCGTTGCAAGTGGCCCCTCTTCACGCGTTTGATTCGTAGATGGCAACGCTTCATAGCCCGATTGCAATTGATGTGTGCGGTCGTCACTTCTATCGTCTGCCAGTGGTGCGATGCCCTGAGCAGTGTGTTCATGAGTTTGTGGCAAAGTGTGCGACTGGGAGACTGCTTTGCCTGTGCTGACCAGCGTCCTTGATGACCTGGTGGTTAATGTCTTCTTCTTTCTCTTGTTTATCGAGCCTGGCTGCAGCGTGTTTAGCTCATCTGTACCAATGGACTTATCTTGCATCACTGCCTTGTCTTTGCGATCATGATGAACGGCTTCACGGAATTGGCGTTCCAATGCGCTTGCATCGGCACCCGTGGAAAGCTGTCGTTTTAGTGGGCTCCCTTGCAGCTTGGTAGTGTAAGGTGAATGGAATGACGCTGACTTGGAAAGTGATGCAGTTGGAGCATCTAACAACAGTAACACACACACACACACACACCATGTACCACACACACACACAAACACACACACACACACGGAATATTATGTGAGCGCTCTGCGGAGTGTGAGTGAATTCCCATTGATGAACGCTTTTTTAAAGGGGAAGTGCATCGATTTTTCGAGTAGGGTCCAGAAGAAAGACAATTTGATATCGGTTCGAATGGCATATGTCTCGCTTCCATACGATAAGCCAAACTTGCCAAATCGCCAATTGTATACTCACGTTGCCATAGCGACCAGCGCAGTGATGACGTACGAAAGGCTTAGCTCCACCACAGAGAAGGTCGATTCACTGCAGAAATTGGTCATTTTCAATTGGTTTATTGTATTCACGAAGTTAAAGAAGGGCTGTGTTCAATGTTGTTAATGCAGTGAACTGTTTATTAGTAGTCCTCTCGGTTGTGTACTGGGACGTGACACTGACAGGAGAAAGCTGGAGTGCGAAAACATCAGCAGACAAGCGAAAATAGTGACGAACAAAATGCTGAAATCTTGGATGGGACAAATCAGACGTTCAGCATTTCCCCCAACCAAGGACCATGCCGTTTGCTCTTTCCACTTCCTGAAGATGGATGTGATGCTTCCTGGCCACTCTCCTATCTCTCGTAACATCTTCTGAAGCCAGGTGAGACGACGGGTGGTGGAGATTGACGAATGAAATAATGTCGTAGGTTTGAAAGTTTGCTGAAAATGTCTCAGGAGAGATGGCGAATACCAAGCATCTTCTCCTAGAGGGACCATTTCCCAGGCACAGTCAGCCTAGGGAAATGTAGGAGAAGGCCGATAAACAGTTCACGGCACTAACAGCATTGAACACAGCGCTTCTTTCACATCGTGAATACAATAAGACAATTGAAAATGACCAATTTATGCAGTGATCGACCATCTCTGTGGTGGAGCTAAGCCTTTCGCACGTCATCACTGCGCTGGTCGCTATGGCAACGTGAGTATACAATTGGCGATTTGGCAAGTTTGACTTATCGTATGGAAGCGAGAGATATGCCATTCGAACCGATATCAAATTGTCTTTCTTCTGGACCCTACTCGAAAAATCGATGCACTCCCCCTGAATTTTGAAACTCCACTGTAGCCTTGTCATATTTTCAGTATACCCAACTCGCAACCCACAAACAGTCCTTGGCTATACCACGTACAGTTGAAATTGTCCAAATTTTCACCCAGGAGGGCATCATCAGGGATATAGGAGAAGAAGGATGAACGTTAGTATAATTTAAAACACCTACTGTCGTGGACATGGAAATCCGGTCGCACGTCTAGTGGCCCCAGGGCGCTGGTCATGCAGCCGTAGATAAGCGGTATTATTTTATGCGCTGAAGCGCGCTGGTTGCATCGGATCAACATGACTCGACTGTGAACTGCACGCAGCGTTCTGTACGCGCTGAGGGCGCCGGCCCCGGTCAATCGACTGGATTTCCATGTCCGCTACAGCACAATCACACATGCACCCCCCCCCCCCCCCCCCCCCAGAAACTTGATCACAGCTCGTGAGCAGGTTCTTTAGCAGGAAGTGAGACACTACAGGCTCTTGATTCCCAGTCAAGAAGGCATGAACATTCCAGAATGTTATCCGCCAATGCATGACCTGAACGATATGACTTCACAGCTACTCAGCACTTGACAAATGATATGACTTCACAGCTACTAAGCACTTGACAAATGCCGGTGAGAACAATGTTAGTATTCCTGTTCTCACCTTCACCAAACGGTCCAACGCGTTGTGTAAGCGATCTTTTTTTCTGACCAGAGCTGTGGCTTTTCCCGGTTGCTGCCTTTGGAGTTCTGTCCGGCACCACGGCCGAGAACGACCAGTGCGCATTGCCAAACAAGTCACTTAATTCCACGGTCAGGTCATGCACCGATTTGCTTTTTGTATCAGTGCCCTGCAACACAAAGACAACAGGAGAGAAGGGTAAATTCAACACAGACCACACTTGTACATACGCCGATATACTCAAGATGCTCGGTGAAGAAAAGTACCTACAAACTCACCGCATTTCAGAAAGACGTACCAATATTGAGTAGTACAGACGGGTAGGGAGGAGGAGGGATGGTGGAGTTGGGCAATATTCAGCAAGAACAAGTGAAGCAAGATTCCTGTGAAGAAAAGTTGATAAAGAAGATCTAAAAACAGATGTCGATCACTTAACCCCTGGACACACACAATGCCGCTGCCAATCAGTATTCATAACCTACCTCAATATCACAGGACTTGATACGTCCTCCAGCAAGGTCACTCAGCAGATAGACAATCAACGTCAACTGGCCGGCATTCTGAAATGCACATTGCTTGGCAGGAATGGCATGGTGCTGCAGCTTGGGCGCTAGTACGCTCAGCGGTTTGTTGTACGGAAGAACCAGGCCGACATTCTTATGGGAGATCATATACCATGGCGTGCTGGTGCTGCTGCCCTCGTGTTGGTTGACACGAACTCTAACCTATGGAACAGCATGTTATCACGTGTACACCACACAATGAGCATGAAAACATCATCAGTGGCCAGGAATAGATTCTCCTGCTTGAAGTAGAAATCCAGGCAAATATTCAGCACGGTGACAACGGGTTTGTTCACAAAGGCAATTGTCTAGCGCAGGAAGTACTTTACCTCGCGTAGGTCAGTAGCTGCTGTGTGGACTTTCATCTGGTACAGGCTTATGCCTCCTGTAGCAAACATGAACATATGTAGGCACGCACATATACATGCAAACTATGGCTGCAACAGGTAGTGGTTTGGCCGGGTAACGAGTTCGGGATATTTCTATCCGGGTAGCACGGGTACCTATCGGGTATTTTTTGACAGAGTTGGTACAGTGAGTGTGCACCTGCGCTACATAGAAAGTGTACAGTAAGCACGTAGCCGTGCTTTTACATGCACCGTTGCAAAAACACTGTACTCCAACTACCCGATCGGGTTCTCAGGAGCAATCTGCCGCCCGAATCGTGACCCGCTCTAATTACGGGTAGCACGGGTGCCCTACTACCCGATGACACCCCTAATGCAAACAAGCACACGCACACTAAGAGCAAACACCTCAAAAATGCTGAATTGCTCGACCATGCTCACTTCAAAAGATCAATCAGTGCCACTTAACTCCTCTACTGCAAAAGAAAAGTGGCTGGCCAACTCTCCCCCCCCCCCCCCCTGCCCTCAGAGGGTGCAGCCTACCTTGTCCCTGTAAGAATGGATCGGCAGCAGGTTGACTAGTAGGTGAATGATGAGGATACAATGTTGTGTAGCTGCTTCGGATCCTGTGCTCTTCCTTTCTGCGTAATGGGCGCATTGGGGCTGGCCAAGTCCTGTGTTGCCGGCCTCTACTGGGGTTGTGTACGGTGGTGGTGGAGGTGGTGGTGTGTGTGCGCAAGTGGCTTACAGTTGATGGACTAGTCTGCTGCTGGCTGATAGTACCATGAGAAGCAGGATGGGAATGTGCGGCCTGACTGGGAAAACTGCTACTGTGACTACTTGGCCCACCGGCGGCAGTGGCGGCAATACCACTGCTGCCAACACGAGTAGCAGTAGTAGCAGTAGTAGCAGTAGTAGCAGAAGTAGTAGTGCGTATCGCTGCTCTATGGTGCCTTGGAGGAGCATGGTGATTTGCAGGTTCTCTTGACTCGGATAAGAAAACAACTCTTCTTCGCCTGCCACTACCTGTCTGCTGCTCTGACGCATCTCTTGTCGTGCCCGCATCGCCTGCATCTCTTGTCGTGCCTGCATCGCCTGCATCCGCCGCGGCAGAATTACGCAATCTATGCTGGGGTACCGGTCTGGGTCTGTGCATGACGGCCTGCGTATCACCACGCTGACTTGACAGGTTCATTGTCAATGCGGGCCCATGATGCACGCCGGAATGGCTACCAGCAGTACGCCCACTGTCTACATGATGAGCAGGATAACCTAATGCTGCACTGGCAGTTGGCACCGGCGGTCTCTCCGATGGGTTACGACTTGCAATCCGTGTACCTCTGACACCGGTATGAGAAGGTTGTGCCCTATGCTGTGGGCCTGCACCTGCCACACCGTCATCCTGGTCGTCACATACGCCCGGGTAAAGATTGCGCGTGTCGGCAGTGATGAGGCGCTGTGCAGTTACATTACTGCTACGGGCATGCCACCGCCGCCGCTGCTGCTGCTGCTGGTGAGCAGTACTGGGCAAGGCTGTGTGGCTCTCTGCTCTTGTGTGCACAGGCCGAATGCTAGTCATGTCTCCTGTAGCAGGTCCAGTGCCTGTAACAGGTCCAATGCCTACAGAACATAAGGAGTAACGCATACGTGCAGGGCATGAACAACCACCTAGCTTGAAGCGTTCCATTCAAGTCTTAGACACCCGCTGCAGAAAGCAGTGACCTATAGAGGTTATCTGAAAGACATCATCATGATGAGCAAGCAGACTTCCGCAATCACGTATGGATGCGAAGTATACAGCAGAGCCGTTCATGGGCGCTATGTACATGCACATGACAGTGAGTCGCTAATGAGTAGTGTACCGCACACTCATGTTCAGATTGTACCTATTATATCAATAAAGGAAATGTCAGAAAGGCATTGATAGCAGATATGAGGCGCGCTTCTTCATTATTATCATCCTCATAGTGTTTACTGAAGTGGACGGAAAGGGTGATAATGGCTTTATCGTATTGAAGGTTTGTTGTGAATACAGAGTTACAGAACACTACAGTCACAGACACCTCAGCAAAACCATGGCATGGGCACTTACCACAATCATGTACACGTTAGCTCAGCCAAACGCCACGCGTGCTGCACCCTCTCCTGACAGAACCACCGCTGATTTGAATACTGACGGAGAGGCGTCTGGTGTAACAGGACTTCTCGCCAGTGGAAAACCTAGTCGCTAGTTGTCCGCACGTGTGTACAGAAGAAGAATAGTAGTAGGGTCTATCGCCAAGTCGCTGCACAGTACAGCCCAGCGGCCCGGCGCTTCGAGGCCAGACTCACTGATTGCCGGCAGTACCTCACCAGATTCGCAAGCGCACCTCGACGCTCAGGTCGTCAACTGGATGATCTTCACTTACTAGCAGCATAATTATAATTATTGGTGGCGTGGCAAATATTTTCTTCATCAGGCATTTCATTCTCTGGTCGTAAAATAAAACAAATTCCAAACTACCATCACCAAAACTTGCCCTCGAACTCGAGGCTTTCGACAACTATTGATCCAGCTAACTAACTTCTTTTCCACAAACTGCTCCAGAGCTACAAAATGGAGAAGAGTGGCAAACGAAGCACACTACGGGAATGTTTTGCGGCTCCTGCTTCGACTGTTCGAGCCATGCGAACGAGCTTACACTCTACACTACAGTGTGATGCCTTGCAGGGAGCGCTGCCAGCATGCAGGGCCTAGGGTAGATCAACCACACTCCACAGGCACAGGCACAGGCATATGCCGACGAAATCTCTCGCGTCCAATGAAACCACGTAAGTGATGCAGTAAGCGCGGAGTTGACCGGGCTTGACAAACATTACACTGGAGCTACCGCCCCCACTGCCCGGTCTACTGACTGTAGACCACGGTAGACAGTGTAGTGACTAGTACAAGTGCTGACTGTCGACATGTCTGTGCGTGTGTCACTAGGGCTAGGCCCTGTTATGTGTGGAGTCTACTGTTTTTGTATTTTTACTATTAGTATTAGTACTATTACAGTATTACCAGGGGCGTACATAGGGCGGTTCCCGGGATGCCCGGGAACCAGTAAAATAATTTCGATGTGGGTACGGAGAATGTTTTTGATCAAGGCCCAGCGTGCAGTGCATGCATGCCTAGGCGCCTGGAGTCCGCCTGACAGTCCGACGACGGTGACATGGTGACTAGGCAAGGGGTAAAAGTGCTGCTGAGGCATTTTTTTTGTGACACAGCGTAGATCTACTGATCTTACTGGGTGCAACAAAGTCTCTACATACGAGTTACATCGATTCCTCGATCTCAGAGTCATTTCCTTTGCAGTTTGTTTCGACAAAGTTGGTTACGTTTTTGACGATGCTTTCGCTTTGTGGAAAAGAAATATGAAGAGTCGACATCCAGAGGGCCAGCGCTCTGTTCAGAGCTATTTCGAGCAGGAGGCAAAACGTGTAGCCAGTGACGAAGGTCAAGCGATAGATGAGATTGCGGACGCACCTGACTTTCAAGTGGAGTCTGCAACGAGCAGCACAGAGGACGGAATCATCGTCGAAGCTGTAGAGCGACCGTTGTTGGAAGCTGCTGGATCATCCAAGACTTACTTCAGTGACATTGGAGTGCGTTGGAAAGGATATTCTGAAAGTGTACTTCCACGGTGGAATCCCTGATTCCTCCGAAATTTGCCTGACATGAAAAAGATTTCCGTCATTGACAATCATTGTGCGCCACTAGCTGCACTGAAGGCGAAGGATTTCGTTTCCTGTGCGTGTCCAGACGGGTGGCAAACAGCGCCGCTTTCAACTATCCTGGTTGGAGGAGTTTCCCTGTGTAGTCGTTTGACCGGCGTGCCATGGTGGCATCTGCTTGCCCTGTGTAATGTTTGCTCCAGGTGATTCGAAGTTTGGGCAGCTTTACCGCAGTCCTTCCGAGAATATAACCCGACTCAAGACTGAGCGTGTGGATGTGCTTCAGCGACTCGTTTCACGGCATAACATGAAATCGTCCTGCTGAACAAAACATCCATAAAAATGCCTTGGCAAAGTTCAGTCTTTTAAATCAAATATGCCTAGCAGTGACATTATCCAGCAGTTTATGCAGAAACTCCGTCGGATACGTATAAGAGCACTAGCCGTGTAGAATTATGTTGGTTGATCAGTTGGCATGGGAACCACTCCTGGAGGCGAGCGGTGTACGCCCCTGATTACTATTAGCTGGCTTGGCATGTCACATTTGTTGCTATGGTATAATCATGATAATAGCCTACTTGTAAGTTGTAGGGAGCAGCAGAGAGTAACGATAGAATGCTTAATACCGTGTTGCTCAAATCAGTTTACGACTCCCTGACCCTGGCTCGAATATCATCACCTTGTCAACGTGTTGACTAACTGTACAAAGAACATCCGCATCGACTGTCCATCATCAAACAGTTACTTGTCAGCACAGCACTTTGCCTTGAAGTGTGTTGTCTGTTGAATCATGATAATGATGTTGGTGTGGCATAATTATCATGTTCTCGGTTCTCTGGCGATGGCGCCGGCCGCGACACTTCCGCCTCGATTCCAGGTATGTAAAGTTGTAAACACATGATGTACATACATGTATGAAGTGGCAGATTCGAAGATTTACCTATTTTTATTACACTTGTTAAAAACATATCCGCGTACTTCCGCACGTATGGTTACGCACATGTACAGGCTTATGTCCGGACATAAGCGCAGCGCACCCCCCCCCCCCCCACACACACATGTTTATACATGTACATGTATGTAAACACCTGGGAGCTGAATAATACTACTACGCATTGTGCAGGACACAGGCAAACTTTTATTGCACATTATAAGCACATGTGCTTCTACCCGGACATGTTTACACAGCAAAAATAGTAAAGACATAAAAATAATCTGGTGCACCACATAGCAGGGATTTGCCGGGAACCGGCATCTTTGTACAGACAGCCAGTTTGGCCACTGCACTGAGTCTAAAAACCTAGGGAGTGAACACCAGGAGCAGGCATGGTACATGTACATCATGAGTCACATGCTGTCATTACGTACCGGTATTCAGTTCCAGAGTTTGCCGCACTCATAACTCACCCAAAACAGTCCGGGTGCGGATTAACGCTGAAATGAGCCTGATGCAATGAACCGTGGAATACAGGGTAGATGTGTGTATTTCGTAGCCACATCTGGGTGCAGCTTATCATGACGCTGGAAAATACGGTACTATGCCTATAGTGTCAAGTGGTGGCTGGCATCATATTTAATACAGCTTAGCACTGATTCAAATCCCATTTGTGGCTGTCATCACCCATTGCAGTTCCTCAACACCTTTCGCAGGAGACCTAAACCTTTCGATTGTAATATGTGCGAGTTCTGTCAACATCAATGTTAGGGATTGGAAATTAGACCTGCATGGTGGAAAAGGCCAGCAAGCCTGAAGCCACAGAGTTATCACCAATTCCTTCACATGCATGGGAAAGCTGAACAGGATACCAGTACCACTATACTGCAGTTTGTTGACTGATCTATGATCTTCACAATGACCTGTTGGCAGGCTGTTGCTTTTCAAACAGGTATTTTACCTCAGATCCCTTAGACTCAATCTACATACATGTGCATGACTGTACAAAACTTCAACAGTACATGCTGTTGTGTTTGCTGTCAGGAATGGACAGGTATGGTCCAGCAAGCAGCAGGTGGCATGTCATTTTCAACTCCACACCAGCTATACTTGACAGCACCAACTGTCATCACAAGGAATGCTGTGTTTGGCTACAGCCTGTGGATATCTACACTGCACATGCACATGAAAATGCCCTAGCAACCCCAATACAACCCCATTTATAACAACACCTCCTGTGTCACTGGTCCACAATTATCTGCTACAGTAATTCTATTTGGATACATCTTCATGGTATTTTATGGCATTCTCTAAAAAAATTCAGCTGCTACACATTGTTACAAGTATGAAAATTTGTTGACATTAAGATTTTAAGTTACACATTTGGGGTTATAGCGGCCGGAGAGGGCAATGTTCCATATTGTGCTGTTTCACCTGCCTCTGTCTCAGTGTCCACCCTGGAGTGGCTCGACGGCAGACATGTGCCTCGGTCTAAATGAGCTGTGTCACAGAGGGCCTTGCACGCACAGTCAGATACGGATACCACTGGAACTAGGTTGTTTCCTACATGTGGATCTACAGGTACTTCGAAGTACTCGCCGACTTCCTTACAGGCTGATCTCGCTTCTCTTCCAGGTACTGTCGTGGACATGGAAATCCGGTCGCACGTCTAGCAGCCCCAGGGCGCTGGCCATGCAGCCATGGCATGCATTATCATGCGCTGCTAGCAGCGTGCTGCTGGTTGCATCGTATCAACATGTGCGTTGCATGCACTGACTTACGTTCTGTACGCGCTGAGGGCGCCGGCCCCGGTCAATCGACTGGATTTCCATGTCCACCACAGTATACTTTGGCCCAAGAAAGATCAGACCACAATCAGGGACAGGAAAAGACCAAGCTTGATCAAGAGTATAATTATCAGCACCCAAGACAGTGATACTCCACAGGGATTAGCTATGGGGTCTGCGGATGGTGAAAACTCACATCGTGTGGTGAAGAGTTCATGTTGTAGGTTCTCAGCCTGAAAGAAGCCCACTCAGCGTGTGCGAGGCATCAACATGATCATGGCAGATAACTGGACTGTGCGCTCGCTAGTCTTCGTTGTACTTAGTATGCCACGTGCTAGGAACAGGCGATGTGAGTTTCCGCCGTAGAATACCACACATGCAGAGCTGCACGTTCTCAGGCGCTAAGCCAGCGACTTCACCATCCACAGGCAAGCTCAGATGAGCCAGCACTAGTAGCTGTGTCTCTGAGCCAGCGACTTGACCACTCACAGACAAGCACAGTCAGTCAGTCAGTGCTGTGTCTCTCAGCCAGCAATGTCGCCATCCACAGACAAGCCAACACTGTGTCTCTCAGCCAACTAATGCCAGGTGTGTTACTTCAAACTCAAAGCAGTGGCAACTCCACGTTTGGCAGCATTTTCTTCACAGCTACAGTGGGTTGAGTGACCGTGGTGCATTCCATGTACAATCCACAGATTCCTTTTCAAAGTTTATCCAGACATTGCCACCGTCAAAGCAGCTAGGGAAGTAGCTAGGGAAGTCAATGTCACAACGTGCTAGTGATACACTGCGTAAAATAACGTTGGGAAGCATTATAGGGTGTTCAAGTCAAGTAAACAATATGCTTTGCGGAGTATGTGCAAACTGCAGCACTGTTTCAACAGCCTAAACTTTAATAAAAAATTGAACACATGTAGTAAGAATGTACAGACTAGAAAGAACAAATTATAGCAAAACCAGCAAAAAAAAAAACTAATCAGCCTGACACGGTCCAGAAGCTGTCACATCTGAACACTAAAGAAGCAAAATAATAATACAATCCTAGCCATGGAAAAAAGAACGTGAGCTTTGAGAAAGGGAAAAGCATGTGCCTCAGGCAGATTGTTTCAAGGTATGGTGCTTGGGGGAGCGAGATCGTGTAAGCTCTGCTACTCCGATACACATACTAGCATTGCAAATGTTCAACAGGACATAGATCCAGTCACCGAAACAGCACAACGCGGCAAGCAGAATAACAAGTGGTATGAGGATCACGCGCTGATGAGTAACCGCCCAACTGGGTAAGCACGCCAAGGTGAAACACTGCACACGTAACACACATACACACACGCGCGCGTGCACGCACAAAAACGCACACGCACACACATACATGTGCACACACACATAGGACACACATGCACTGTAGTCACCGTGAAGATAGAGCCAAGCCTGAAGAGGACACTGGCTTGAACATGTCTTCGTGCTCCATAACATACACAGCAGAATTCTGGCCAGCAGCTGGTATATGTCATGACTCATGACGTTCATCAGTGTGCGACTATCCAACTTCAAGTTGAACTGATATCAATCATACGACCACAGCAACATTGGGAGCTGAAGAACGGTGATGTTCTTATTCTCCATATTCCAAAGTTCTTCTTTCATATGCTGGGCTTGTACATTCACATACTTCAGGTAGAATGCAAGCTGGTATGCCGTCTGATCCGCATGCTTTCATGGCATGTAATCCCCTGAGAAGCTTGGTTACAGTTTCTGTGGTGACTAGTTCAAACTCGAGAAGCCAACTATCCAGGAGCATATCTGCCGAAGAAGTACGCTGTGCATGCAGCGCTACATCCAAAACATGCTGCCATTCCTAAATGTTTGCTTCCAGCCTGGTGCGTTATTGAATTTTGGTGACTTTCTGTGGTTATGATAAGTTGTCATCACCGAAGCAGAGTAAGATTATGTGTGTGTAGCCCTGGTGTAAACATTTCCAATGTATGTTCAAGAAACTTATCATGGGATGTAAAACTACTTCGAAGTAGTCCTGAATTATGTGCGCACAATCTGGGGTTTGCCCATTCTTTCTTATCGTTGGACTCCGACTTGATTCTTCTGGCCTGCTGAGTCGCAACAGATGTGCAACTGCAGCCAATGTGTTTTACCAATGGTCAGCAGCAATCCAGCTTTGATTCCACAACACCACCATCAATTTGAATCTCGTGTTGTTCTGGATACCACCTTGTGGATCCGGAGAAGCAAACTACTGGTGTGGGCATGGAAATCCGGTCGCACGTCTAGCAGACCCAGGGCGCTGGCCATGCAGCCGTGGATGAGCGGTACACACATGCATTTTTATGCGCTGCAGCGCGCCGGTCGAATCGGATCGACATGTGCACTGTACACGCTGAGGGCGTCGGCCCCGGTCAATCGACTGGATTTCCATGTCCGCTACAGTACATGTACAAGAAAGGTTGTTGTGCTGCTGTCCCAGTGTAGAAACTAGCCTTCTCGGTGCCGCCCAGGAACGGACAGGAAACGCGAGTCAATCAAGGGACTGCACGTCACACATGTACTGACTAATAGGCTGAGCTTGACAAGAAATTTCTAAAAAGTAAAACTATGTCACAGCACAATGTTGACATAGGACCTACGTCAACATTGTACACTGGTATGGGTGATGAATAAGCCCAGCTCAATAGAACTAATATACCTGCTGGTGCGGTGAGCCCATACTGTACCACACACAAGAACAGTGCATGACATCTTTCAGTCAAAAACTTGTGAGCAGTGGTCAGTGCCAGCAGTTCACTTACCTGAAGTAAGAGAAGACTACCAACGGCAACACTAAGAACGGACCACACAACATCCTGCACAGGGTAGAACATAAAAGAAAGGCAAAGGACAAGCACTCAACCTATGCCTGGCTGATTTTTCAATTCTTGGAAGCAGAGGAATACATATACATGTGATTGTATATCTAAAGCCACTAAGTGCTCAAAAAACTGGCCGAGGCTGTCAAGCAATCTGACCGTTGGCGCAGCAAGGATGAAGAAGAAACAGCATCGAGAGCCGGAGTAATGCGCATGCTCCGCGCGGTCCCGTGCCGGAGCGCGGGAGTTCGGAGCGCGGGAGTTCGGAGTGCGTATTCTGCACGTGCACGTGATGCGCTATGGCAAGTACATGCAAGTATGTTGGTGGGTTGCTAACTTCACTTACCGTGCCACGCACGGAAACTTATACTGTAGAACGGGTAATTTTAGCGACGTAAAAACCCTAGCGAATTTAGCGATCGACTCATTTTCGCTAAAGTTTCAAGTCGCTAATTCGTTGAGACATAGTAGTACACTGGTGATCCGTGAGTAAAATCGCTGAAAATCGCTAAAATAAAACGTCGCTAACCGGTTGACAATGGGAAAACGCTAAAATTAATAGTCGCTAAAATTACCCGTTCTACAGTATTTAACAAAAAATTTATAAACCCCACTTTCTGCACACGATGAGCAACACACTCTACAAAACGTTTACATCAACAACATGTTTGGCCAACTGACTGATGCTGTCAGGCTTACTAGTACAATTATGTACTTCAGTGAAACCTGTAAGGGCTACCACTCTGATAAGGTGACCACCTGTCCTAGAGGACCACAGAATCAAGGAGCAAAGAGTATCACTTCAATCAATATGACCATGGACAAGGGAACAACGACCTGTGCATGCGACCATGGGGGCCTGAGTGGTCGGCTTAGACAGGTTTCACTGTACACTGAGACTACACTCATTTACAGCAGTCAAGTGTAGTTTAGCAGATCACAGGCCACTACACAAAATGACAAGAACTTCAAAATGAAGTGCACAGCGCAGAGTTGGAGTTGAAGGGAACAAACACATCAGGATGACTGCGCTTACCAGAAGTGGCATCTCGGACTCGAGCCTATCCACGCTGTAAAACTCCAAGGCTAAGTGGTATCGATACAGAGCAGATAAAATCAGAAGTAGAGAAAAGGCAGCAACTAAAAGCTTCACTCCAATTGTTGACTTCTTGCCTTCTGTATGACCTACACATTGGAGCACAGTATAGCACAATGAACAAAAAACACTTTTGAACATAGTAGCAACTGCCACCAGATGTACATCAGCTATCTACAGGAACATGCAAAGTAAACCAGTGCTTTTCCCCAATAGCGTTACCACGGAGACAAACACATAAACAAACTGTGCTTTGTCTGCTGCCACTGGTAGGTAGACGAGAAATGACGAGAAATCTTTCGAGAATTTTTCAACAGAAATGTGCCAGTAGTACACATATTCAAGTTGATGGACAGCAAGGAATACAGTGCTACTTGATGGAATACAGTGCTACTTGATGGAATACAGTGCTACTTGATGGAATACAGTGCTACTTGATGGAATACAGTGCTACTCGATGGAATACAGTGCTACTCGATGGAATACAGTGCTACTCGATGGAATACAGTGCTACTCGATGGAATACAGTGCTACTCGATGGAATACAGTGCTACTCGATGGAATACAGTGCTACTCGATGGAATACAGTGCTACTCGATGGAATACAGTGCTACTCGATGGAATACAGTGCTACTCGATGGAATACAGTGCTACTCGATGGAATACAGTGCTACTCGATGGAATACAGTGCTACTCGATGGAATACAGTGCTACTCGATGGAATACAGTGCTACTCGATGGAATACAGTGCTACTCGATGGAATACAGTGCTCCTCGATGGAATACAGTGCTACTCGATGGAATACAGTGCTACTCGATGGAATACAGTGCTACTCGATGGAATACAGTGCTACTCGATGGAATACAGTGCTACTCGATGGAATACAGTGCTACTCGATGGAATACAGTGCTACTCGATGGAATACAGTGCTACTCGATGGAATACAGTGCTACTCGATGGAATACAGTGCTACTCGATGGAATACAGTGCTACTCGATGGAATACAGTGCTACTCGATGGAATACAGTGCTACTCGATGGAATACAGTGCTACTCGATGGAATACAGTGCTACTCGATGGAATACAGTGCTACTCGATGGAATACAGTGCTACTCGATGGAATACAGTGCTACTCGATGGAATACAGTGCTACTCGATGGAATACAGTGCTACTCGATGGAATACAGTGCTACTCGATGGAATACAGTGCTACTCGATGGAATACAGTGCTACTCGATGGAATACAGTGCTACTCGATGGAATACAGTGCTACTCGATGGAATACAGTGCTACTCGATGGAATACAGTGCTACTCGATGGAATACAGTGCTACTCGATGGAATACAGTGCTACTCGATGGAATACAGTGCTACTCGATGGAATACAGTGCTACTCGATGGAATACAGTGCTACTCGATGGAATACAGTGCTACTCGATGGAATACAGTGCTACTCGATGGAATACAGTGCTACTCGATGGAATACAGTGCTACTCGATGGAATACAGTGCTACTCGATGGAATACAGTGCTACTCGATGGAATACAGTGCTACTCGATGGAATACAGTGCTACTCGATGGAATACAGTGCTACTCGATGGAATACAGTGCTACTCGATGGAATACAGTGCTACTCGATGGAATACAGTGCTACTCGATGGAATACAGTGCTACTTGATGGAATACAGTGCTACTTGATGGAATACAGTGCTACTTGATGGAATACAGTGCTACTTGATGGAATACAGTGCTACTTGATGGAATACAGTGCTACTTGATGGAATACAGTGCTACTTGATGGAATACAGAGCTACTTGATGGAATACAGTGCTACTTGATGGAATACAGTGCTACTTGATGGAATACAGTGCTACTTGATGGAATACAGTGCTACTTGATGGAATACAGTGCTACTTGATGGAATACAGTGCTACTTGATGGAATACAGTGCTACTTGATGGAATACAGTGCTACTTGATGGAATACAGTGCTACTTGATGGAATACAGTGCTACTTGATGGAATACAGTGCTACTTGATGGAATACAGTGCTACTTGATGGAATACAGAGCTACTTGATGGAATACAGTGCTACTTGATGGAATACAGTGCTACTTGATGGAATACAGTGCTACTTGATGGAATACAGTGCTACTTGATGGAATACAGTGCTACTTGATGGAATACAGTGCTACTTGATGGAATACAGTGCTACTTGATGGAATACAGTGCTACTTGATGGAATACAGTGCTACTTGATGGAATACAGTGCTACTCGATGGAATACAGTGCTACTTGATGGAATCTATTTGTGTCAGTCCACTAGCACCAGGCACAGTACAACCCTAGACTGGTACAGGGTGTTAACATATTCGGGAGACTGCATTTCATTTTTAAAACACTGCACTTCTTCACGAGCTTTCATAAACTGGTCACATTACCCACGTAACTAGCAACCGGTTCAAGGGAAGTCGGTCTTCCATTCGCTTTGGTGTGGTCCACCTTGCCTGCCCATTGGTCTAAAGTTAGAGTGTGACCATACTATCACAAACCGGCACTTGGTTCAGTCAAAAACCAATACACAAGGCGAGAGTGACCGCACCATTCCACAAGGAAAGAACTGACTACGAATGAGTTGACGTTTCCACCATACTGGTCTTCTTCAGAAAACTTTTTTTCATTACTTTTTTGCAGAAGACCACTACGGTAAACAAGAAATGGTCCAGTCCCTCTCGTCGTGCCAGTTGGGCTCTCGGTTTTCTCATTGAACATAGGCAATTGCCCAGCTCAACTTGGCTTACATTGTCAGGTTTGTTCACCGTGCACAAGTATGCCAATCAGGTGTGGGTGGTCATTGTGGTGTGAATATGTGCTACATTATGGATGTGTACCTGTTCGTGACGATTGAGCAGCTGTGGAAGATCCCGCCACCGAAGCAGCAGCTGAACCCAAAACTGCACCGGTACTCATGCGCGTTGGTGGCTGCTCCTCTAAGCGTCTTGACATCTCCGCTACAGGTACTCGTGTATGTAGGGACTGTGGATTGAGGTAGCGTTGTTTGCACTTCTGCAGGAATCCATCTATTGCCATGGTGTATCAACACAGATCAAATCACCCACACACGTAGAGACG